TCTTTGGTAAATCGATACCAGAGGAACTTTCACGGTTACGTCAAGTATTCTATAGACTACGACAAGCCAACTTAAAGTTAAAACCAAAGAAATGCTTTCTGTTCAGGAAGAAGGTGTCCTATCTCGGACATGAAGTATCAAGCAAGGGAGTCTCAACACAGCCAGAGAAGGTTGAGTCTGTAAAAACATGGCCGACGCCGAAGAATGTGACGGAAGTTAGAAGTTTTCTCGGTCTTGCATCTTACTACAGACGTTTTGTTGAAGGTTTTGCTAGTATAGCCAAACCTCTTCATCAACTCACGGAAAAACGCCGTGCCGGACAGTTCGAATGGAGCTCTGTCTGTCAGGATGCGTTTGAAGAGTTGAAAAGAAGATTGATTACTGCACCTATTCTGGGATACCCGAATACGAAAGGTGCATTCATTCTTGACACAGACGCCAGTAAGGATGGGATTGGAGGAGTGTTGTCACAAGTACAAGATGGAAAGGAAAGAGTAATTGCTTACGGAAGTAAAGTGCTAAGTAAGGCAGAACGGAACTACTGCGTTACAAGAAGGGAACTACTAGCAGTTGTCGTTTACTTGAAGCATTTCAGTCAATATCTCTACGGTCGACATGTAACGGTGAGAACAGATCACGGAGCTTTAAGGTGGCTAACAAATTTCAAAAACCCTGAAGGACAGCTGGCAAGATGGCTTGAGGTCATCGCAGCTTATGATATAGAGATCATTCACAGGGCTGGTAGAAGTCATGGGAATGCAGATGCATTGTCGAGAAGACCATGTGGCCAGTGTGGAAGAGAACTGGAGTGCGAGTTCAAGGAAGAAACAGCCAAAGCACGTGTAATAATGATGACAAATGAGAAGAGACTGTCTGAGATGAGGAAAGATCAACTAGACGACCCAAATATAAAGCCTGTGCTAGAGGCTATGGAAAGGAAGACCAGACCGCCGAAGGAAGAATTTTCCGCCATGTCTAAGAAAGTTAAAGTCTTGTTAGAGCATTGGGAACAACTTGAAATTAGAGACGGAATACTCTACCGTAGATGGGAATCTATAGATGGCAAAGAAGTGAAATGGCGACTAGTATTACCTGGAAGGAAAATAGATGAAGTTTTGAAAGAACTTCATGGTAGTGTTTTAGCTGGTCATTTGGGAGCAACTAAGACACTGAAGGGTAGTCAGATGAGATACTACTGGGTAGGAATGAAGGCAGATGTGAGGTCTTTCATCCGTAAATGTGAATCTTGTGCTCGACGGAAGTCAGCTGGTAAGAAGAGACGAGCACCTCTACAGCAGAGAAGAAGTGGAAGTCCGATGGAACGGATCGCTCTTGATATACTAGGACCTTTGCCAGAGACGAATGACGGAAACAAGTACATAATGGTAGTAGCCGATTACTACACAAAGTTCGTAGAAGCTTATCCCATACCTAATGAGAAAGCAAGTACTGTGGCAGCCAAACTAGTTGAAGAGTTTATATGTAGATATGGGGTTCCAACTGAGATTCACACAGACCAAGGAAGGAACTTTGAGTCACAGTTGTTCAAAGAGGTTTGCCAGATCTTGGGAATAAAGAAGACAAGGACGACGGCATATAACCCTAAATCAGACGGTATGATTGAACGCTTCAACAGAACATTGCTCGATATGCTTGTTACGCTAATAGAGCCTGGAAAGAATCAGCGAGATTGGGACAAGTATGTACACATAGCTACAACGGCATACAGAAGTTCAGTTCATGAGACAATAGGAGAAACGCCAAACATGATGATGTTCGGGAGAGAACTGAAAATGCTTTCAGATCAGTACATGATCCAACCAGATATGGAAGTTGGAACAGACTACGTCGAGGAACTACGAGACAGGATGGATAAAGTCTATACAAGGATTACTGAACACAGTCAGAAGAATCTCCGAAGACAGAAGAGAAACTACGACAAGAAGATTGCTGGAAGTAGTTACGAAGAAGGAAATTTCGTTTGGTTACGAAATAATCAGAGAAACAAAGGCATCAGTCCCAAACTAAGTTACAGATGGAATGGCCCATTCAAGATTAAGACGAAGTTGTCTGATGTGACATACAGAATCCAAAAGAGTCCTGGAACCAAGATGAAGGTTGTACACTTTGACCGTTTGAAGCCATGTGAAGGAGACGAGCCTAAGGAATGGAAGACAGCTCATACTAGACGGGAAGACGCTGGAAATGATGCCAGAGAGATGGAGTCCAACTCTGAAGAGGTTGATCAAGATTCAACGCCTGACGTGACTGTAAATAGAAGACAAGAAGATACTCGACGCTATCCACTGAGGAATAGAAGACCCGCACATTTCTTTTATTAGAAATGGTTTTGTGGAAATAAAGTTTAGAATAATATTTGTTTTACTTTGGATCTGTTTCCTTCTCCTCTTTCCTTCTCTATAACTTTCTATCTCACTTCTTTCTTTCTTCTATTCAACTCTGTTTTCTCATCTATATCTCTTTCTTATACAGATTCCATTGCTTGTATTGTATATAAATGAACATTATTGACATTGTAACGCCACTGAGTAGATTTAAGAATTAGAATTTATTTGTAATAGGTAATCTAGGGCGATGAAAATTTAAGAATATAAGTGCACGTTCCATGTTGCATAGGAACAAAGAATTGACAAGTTTTGGAAGAAAAGCAGATGTCTTATGTTGTAGATGTATATTTGATTGATGCTAGTGTTGATAGAGAGATTGTGAGGTAATAGAGAAGGAGAAGAAAAGTGGGCAAAATAAGACAAGTGTTTTCTTCCAAATGTCACCTACCTTATTGGTAATAATATTGAGTAAAGATATTTTTGGTTTGTATACATGTATATACTTGCAATCGAATTTAGACAAGGTTGCATTGTAACAAGGTTATCGCCCAGGAAAACCTAATGTTTTAAATGCGAGGACGCATTTTGTAAGGAGGAGGGCTGTGTAACGATCCGCTCCGCGGTCGTGACGTAACAAAGAGGCCTAACTTAAATGATTGTTGTTTTCAAGCGCGTCATCATACACCGACGCACAATGTTTACGTTAATAATTTGCATACGAGCGATTGACATTTGGATCCATTATTGAGATGCTTTAAGATGTTAAACTGTAATTGTTTATCAATATATCACATGAATTTGGAAGGAAAGTTGTTTAGACAATGTAACTTGTTAATATTTACTGCAACTATGTCATTCAGAGTGTTGTATATAATTAATGGTAAAATAAGAGATTTACTTAGATATTTTGCTCTGAACTAGCACAGTCTTCATGTTAGGTCCATTTTCGCTGCGCGTGTGCTTTCCAAGATCGCTTAGCGCATCGATTTCCCCCACGTCCGCATTATGCCTTTATAACCCGTAACATTTCTGAAACGTGAGGAGAGGGAATTAGACGCTCGTCGGAATCAGAACTATTTAGTCTCTCCCTGGAAATCCCCCCCCCCCCCCCCCCACCTAAGGACTTGTCTTGGAATTGGGCGCTCGTCGGAACTGGTACCACACATAAGATCTCTCTCCCTCCCTGGAATATAAAGGTACACAAGGAAGTCTACGCTGGAATTAAGATGCTGGAATTAATGAACCACTAATGCAGGAATATTCTAAGTCCACCTCTCCCCCTATGATGCTATGGAATTAAACTAAGAGGAAAACTCCCAAGTCCCATAAATCCCAATGAATCATTGCCCTTCACTTTATTACATGTATTCGAATATAATAACGACAATCGTATAAATTTATTAAGTATAACTATAAGCACAAGGTATTTGTGACAGTGGTGATATAAAGATGTAAATATTTGAAGTACATGCATTAATAAAAGTTGACCATTTTCTTTTGTCTTGAAACTTAAATTATGAGTCTATAAACACTTTGTCTTTCTTCTTGACTGGTACTCCGTCATAAGTCGTATATTTCGACGAAACGAACGTAAATAAGTATTGTAGCTTCCCCCGTCTTTCCTCAAATAAAAGATAAGATCTAATTACTCTAACCGCTCGGACATACATTATAAATAATGTCGGCTGACGAATATCCTGACAGATGTAAAGAATCAGTTTCCCCAGCTGGGAATGAGAATAATCCCGACGTAGAGGTCGAGGTGGGAGACGGAGGCGGGGGCGGCCGCCACACTACTGTAGGATTGATTTGTCCTGGAGAAAAATGGTTTGATAAGACAGTTAAATATTAGTTGGTCATGTAGCAGTTACCTCTGATTGATTTTGGATTTAGACTTGAGCTTTCTTTCTGAGATGCTAAAAGCCTTGTTCCATTATGTCACAATAAACCCTGGGACAAGATAAAATGACATAGGAATAATGTGCTTCACATATCAGTATATTATAACACATCTATAAATGAGAGCAATTTGCTGCAAACAGATTTTGTTCCTTATCCCTGGGAGCCATTCATTTACATTTGAAGGAAAATAATCTTTGCCATTTACATTGCCATATGTGAACATACCTCTACTGTAGTTCAACCGTTTTAATTTGGGAGTTTCCATCACGTTTTTAGTGTGGTCTCTTCACATGATCACCTTATATACATGTAGTGTAATGTTACTCAAGTGAGTGCTTCATGGATTTCTAACATTTATAGATGGCCTCTCTCTCTCTCTCCTCATTATTTAATGACAAGAAGAGCTTGAGTACTATATTAAGTTACTCAAGTGCAGCTTTGAAGAAGTATGGAACAGGTGTATGCAAACGTGTTGAAAATCCAGGAATGTATTTTTGTACATTGCGTCATTTTTATCTCAAATATTAATCAGATACCATAATCATTTTATAAACTAAATTTCCATAGAAAATTGAATGCATGCATGCAAGAGAATCTAAATGTTCTCAAAAGTGTGTGTTTGTGTGTGGGGGGGGGGGGGGGTAGCATCACTGTGAGAGGAAGTAGAGAACTTTTATTTACATATAAGAACTATTAAGTTTCTTCTTTTTTTCTAACCACATCAATCATGTTTTCTTTTGTTTTTTCCAGTCCTGGAATATTCTTGCTCTAGATGGCAGCAACTGGCAGAAAGTGGATTTATTTAACTTCCAGACGGATATAGAGGTAACCTCTCACCTCATTTTGTCCCCTCCTTTTATAAGTTATGCTATTATCTGTTTGGAGCTAAAAGGGCCTTAACTCATAAATAAAAACTGATATGATGTGTTCAATTTCAGAAATCTACCTTTTGCGTCTAACAATCTGGCTTTATGGAGAGCTCCAGTTCACTTTCTTATAAACAAAAAGATGTTGAGTTTGTTAAAATTAGATTCACACTTTATTGATAGAGTGAGACTTTTTTTAGTATGAGAACATTTTATTAAGAAAATTGTTTGCCCCAACAGAGGTTTAAAAAATGGGGGAAACTTTGGGATGAAGAAGGTTAAAATACTCAGGGCTGTTGCTCTGATGGCCTCACAAACAGGTTTATATTGAAATTCTTGTCGATGTACACTATAGTCATTCTGTATTGGTAAGGGATTTGGTTACTTATAGTCTCCACCTGCACTATGATCAATCACCAATGACATCTCATTCTAAATATACTTCTATGTTCTCTAGGTTTGCAGTATCGACTATTTCTTTACTTTAAATATATGCAGTGTCCCATTTATTATTTATAGTGTAGTATCCATCATAATATGAGGAACAATAATGCACATGCTTGTTTTATAGTTGAGATGAAATACAAACTTATCAAACTTAGTCAATGGAAAGTACTAATGTTCTTGATAGCTTGCGGTATCATGTGCTCAGCCTTGCTACAAGTCTCTTTAATATGGATGTATTTTTCATTTTCCCAGGGGCCAGTTGTGGAGCACATATCAAAACGATGTGGAGGCTTTCTCAAGAACCTTAGTTTACACGGATGCAAGAGTGTCACTGACGATGCCTTGAAGTAAGTCATGCAATCAATCTCATACTGTATTCCTCTATTTTAACTCATGTTGCAGTTCAGGATTTTTCTTATTTTCTAAATTAATCAGTTTCCCCTCCTCGAATTGGCAACAATTAATCTCATTTTCCACTCCTTCATTCTCTAAAGAGGAAAAAAATGTTTCATTAAATAAACCAAAATGACAAAATTTTGCAAAATTTAGCCAAATACTGTGAATCTGTACACAAAAATGGTGATTTTATAGTTTACACCGTATTGCTAATTTGAGACTTCAATTATTCTTGAAGACTATAATTATTATACTTACAATTAAATCACTCTTATTCAATAATGACACAAAGTACTGCAATGCTCAATAGCATTTTGTAACTTGGATCAAAAGATAATGAAAAAAGGTAACTGAAAAGGAGACACCAAACTTCTATGGGTTATACCTTGGATACCTTGAAAGTAGGCATTTAAAGTTAAAAACTTATTTGCCTCTCGTTGACATTCGGATGAAGAATCCATATTTTGACACATGTTTTTGACACAGGGTTAATTCATTTTTTTAAATTGATACTATATATTCTTGATTTTCCCCCAATTGTCTTTTTCCTGCATGTCCTCTTCTTACGTTCTGACCATAACTTGCTTTACTTCCTCCTTCATTTCTGCTGTTACCTGGTTTGGTTCATCATTTGTTGCTCTAGTATCCATATCCAGCTTCCTGCTTTTATTATACCTTGTTTGTAATTGTCCTCTTTTTTTCTTTTCCACGTTAAATTCTTGATACCTTCCCCATGTCAACAGGATTTCCTTATATCATTTATTATTTATTTTTTTCTTCATTTTATGTAATTTATACATGTACTTACTGTCTTGATGTTTGATTGGTAGTGCATACACCTGTTCATGTACTTCCTCTTCGATACACCGTTACTGTGAAAGAGTTTTGTTCTTGTGAGTTCAGCAGACTAGTTCAAATAGAGGGTAGGGTGATTAGCACAAGTCTTGTTTTTTCATTCTGTCACTTCAGTAATCTAAAGCACTACTTTGAAAATACATGTTGATAAAACTGTGAGAAATGAATTGGTGAAAAGCACAATTACAAGGACGATGAGAATAGAACTGTATAGCATATTAATCAAATTACTCCTGAACTTTATGTTGATATGAATTATGTTAGCATATAGAATTCTAGTTATTTTCTACTGAAAATGAACATTAATGCTTCCCTGAAATAATCAATTTACACATTTCATATGCTTGACAATAAGTTTTTTTTGTAGAAGATGGGATGTACTGTATTTGACAATTGACAAGTACATGCCTATACAATGTTTGAAATACATGAATATCATAGATATTGCATGTAAATTTGTAGGTAATTAAAAACTGGGTACGGGAGTAAAAATTGCATTTTCTCATTCACAATTAATTTTTAAAAATCTCCTTGTTCTTGCAGCACATTTGCAGACAACTGCAGAAATATAGAAGTACTGAACTTAGAAGACTGTAAACGAATTACAGATCATACAGCGCAGAGTCTTAGCAGATATAGCAAGAAGCTTAGCCAGTTGAATATGGTATCCTGCACAGCAATCACAGACAATGCACTCAAGTCTCTCAGGTACGTTCCCTTTTATGTATCATGTATCACACGTTACATTGTAAGGATGAGGAGATTGAGAGTTCTGCTTAGACCTACCCTCTTGGTCATTTGTACAGAAAGTTCACATGCTTGAATTTAATGTGTGATTTACCTGTATTATATTATATGAGATAACAGAACACTTCTGACAGCTTGAATAAGACCGCATATGAAGTGAAATGACACATTTATTCAACTACATAATACTCGAACCTATAGGACATCAAATGACCAAATACATGCGACTTGACTCAATTTATGTTAATATTAAGGATATTTCCAAAACTTTTTAGGATATCAAACTTTATCAATTATTATATTGCTCAATCTAAATGCAAATTTCAAATACTTTTTGTCTCTTCATGGCTTGGAGTAGGGGGAGTGTAGTTAGGAGCCAAATCTGCCCCATTTTGGTAGAGAGAGAGAGAGAGCATCAAAGTATTCAACATATATGTTTTTAGGTTTTAGGGTTGATTATACATTTCTTCTGTCACAAATGCAAAATTATTTTCTAACTATGGCCCTCTTGGCCAATATATAATGTATATAAATATTTGTCAAAGCTCCACAGAGAAAAGTCATAACTTACCTTAATTAGATTGTTATTACTGCAATGAAGTGTGGAGACCGGTTTCTTAATCGAAACAGATATAAGATCAGGATGCTCCTTATTGCATAGAGTTGAAGCATCGAGGTAGAAGATCTGACAAATAATAATTGGACTTTATGGGTTTGACACAGATAAAATTCCTGTTCATGAAATATTCATACTTCTTTGTGTGTATAGCCTATTTGGAGCATTTCCACTGAAGTTTGGGGGTATTAAAGGGAGTTTTTACAAATAAATAGAACATATGTACATGTATGAATATCTCTGGTAGAATTACAGATACACTTGTAGTATCCTTATTCAATAATTATCTTCAACTTTTGCTACTTGTTTGTTAATTTGTTTGAACTCTGTGAAGCGCTGTGAAACTGTTTAGTACATGTATGTGTAAGAGCACTATATGAATGACTTTATTATTATTATTATTATTATTATTATTGTGTTATTATCCAAGGAAACTATCCATGTAAGGGGAAAAAATGAGATCTAGATTGAAACATTTGGAAAGCTCATTAAAAAGTATTATTTAAAAAAATAACAAAATTGAATATGGATATCAGGTGCAGATTTTTCCTTTAACTGTTCCACAATTTCCCAAATGGATTTTCGAATCACATTTCAATATCGAACATATGAGGTACGAACCGCGACGCCTAGGGCCGCAGACGGGGTGCGGGGGCATCAAAATGCCATTACTGAGTTATTGGATAAGAGCCAAAATGTGTGTAACTGATTACAAGCAGGGGTACTCAAGGGTGTCGCAGATCACGAAAAGGGGAAAGTTGGACATGCGTTCAGCGAGCTAGACATCTCTGATAAATGTATACATGATTTATAAATGTGTCTAGCATTTTAGTTGTGTACCCCATCTGGGGAGTCAGCGAGCCGAGACTTATTTTGTGAGAGTGGTTCTTGCTTTATCAAGGTCAAAATCACTTAGTTGTAGTGGGCTAAAATGAGTTTAGGATAACGTGAATGCACTGGTGACCTGCTAGTGACCTCCAAAAGGGCACAAGTCCTTTTTTTTATTACTTTCAGGGGTTCAATAAAAGCAGGGTAACCACCTACAGTTACAATCTAATTTAGAAGAGTGTGCATTTTCTGAGGGTATCTGTTGAGAGCCAGAAGGGTGTTAACTAATCTGATTTTTTTTTCACGGAGCTAATGCCCTTCAGATACTCAACAAACAATAGTTTATGTGGGGTGACAGTCATTGGTTGTTTATTATTAAATCACAACGTCTGCTTAGATCAAGAAGGGCATTAACTCTGTGTTGAAGTACATATATATGAGTTAATACCTTTTTGGCCCCACAGAGATGATAATGTACTTAACATTATGTGATAATGTTGCCATGTAATTGACATGCCATGCTTTTGATGGTCTGGTTCAATTGCAGTGAAACAGAGTCAGGGAACGCACTGGTCATTTGTTTACCAGAATCTTTAAAAAAAATATGAAAAGTGCTGCAATGTACATGTTAACATTTTATTCTTCATAGCTATTGCTGAACTGGTACTTTTTTTGTCCTTCTCTTATACATGCACATACATAGACAGTGGTTTTCTAATATATTGAACAAGTTTTGTCACCACTACAGTGGAAGGCATCATGTCACCACTACAGTGGAAGGCATCATGTCACCAAAAAAAAAATCATTTTAGATTATATCAAATGCTGGTTGAAATATAATTGTTTTTTGCCCTCAATCATGCAGTTGAAAATCAATCTGAAAGTTGAATCTTTCAGATATGATATTTTAGTAGTTAATTAGGGAGACATGTTTTCATGTGATTTTTATTTATATAAATATACAAGTAGTACATGAAGATGTAATATAGTATTAGTAGAATGTATTGTATAACTTGTTTAGTTACTCTGCTGGTCTGCCACAAGGTCAATAAATCAACTTCTTAAGAGTTTTATAATAAATAATGTATGGTATCACTAATATAATCAAGGGACTTTTCAGTTAATTGACATGATGCATTTCATGCTAATTACATGTATTATTGGAAGAAAGATGTTCAAAATTCATGTAGAAAAATTAAGAGAAAAAAATGTGTGAGTATAATAAATCCAGGTATTAGACAATGTTGAAAGGAATTCCATCTACTGATGTTACCAGCTCTCTAGCATCAATATATTTGAGCTTTCATTTGATTCATTCAATCATTCATTTATTTCATTTCATTTTCCCCAAAATTTAAGATACAATATACTGTAGTTCATTGTCTCTGAGTTAAAATATAAATAGGTACCCAAAAAATCCTTTTAAGCTGTCAGCAACAATTCCTGCCAAAGATTAACTTAATGTTTTACCATGTGTCTGTATGAGATATTGCTTTTTATTTTGTCCTGATATTTTATGGTGACCACTGATCACTGATCCCATAAAAGATATTTGAAAGCAACAACTTAATTAACAATGAAATCCTAACACTTAAGACCTCAAATTTGGATACTAATTTAAGATAAGTTTTGGCAATCCTAATGACTCACTCAGAGCTTATGTGTTTTGCTATTTTAATCACGCTATCGGGGGGAGGGGGGGGGGAGGACCTTCGTATTTTGATAGACACCATACAGACATTTGTTTACTTAAATGATCTATTTCAGGATGTAAGGTTATGAACATGCAATAAAATCAGGGTTGAAAATGAAAAACGAAGATATGCTGGTAGATCCAAATTGTATGCCAGTAGTGAAATTAAAACAAACAGCTTCTTTCTCCCTTATAAAAGGAGGGATTAGGTTCATGATGCAAGGTCTTCCCTTTGCAACATTAAAGATAAATAATTTGGGGGAATAAATATTTTGAAAACAAAATACAAATGTATATACACTGTAGGACAATTCAGTATATGTTATACGGTACATCTAGACAACATTTTCTACCTTTAATTAATGACATGCAGAACCATCTGAAAATGGTTGTATACTTGTATCAAGAAATTTGTATTTTTAGAATAAACTTAATTGATGAAGAATGGTTTCATATGGAACAACACACACAGAATTACCCTAGACATGTTTATTTACTTTTATTCTTTTATTCATTCATAAAATATTAATAAAATTTGTAATATGTACCTCTTCATTCAATTCGCCATAGTGTCCTTTGCGTTATCATCAGTTAAGGTTATCACCCCGCTTGTCTTTCATACTCTCAATTCATATAATAGTAGATCACCAAATTGTCCTTATATGATTTCAGCATTTCTGTTTGAACTGCTGTGCCATCTATTTAGACGTTAATGATTAATCATTTTTTTGTCTTGCTTAACCACACAGTGATGGCTGCCATCTTCTAAGTCATCTCAATATCTCGTGGTGTGACCAAATTAGCGACAACGGCATCGAAGCCCTGGTCAGAGGTTGTTCTCACATCAAGGTCCTTATCCTCAAGGGTTGTCATTCGGTGAGTTACTTAGTCTACCCTTCAGCCGCATTCACATGTGACCCATTAATGGCCTGAGAAATAAATCTTGAACAGCAACATAAACAAATTAATTGTGTTTCCAAGTGGAGGTGGAATTTAAGCCATGATTTTCACTAATGTTATGAAGTGTTTTAGTTTAAGTAGGGTCTCGAATTTCACCCCTAAAATAAGCTTGCAATGCCTGTGCCAGTCGCAAGTTAGTTGTTTTCATCCAGTGGGGACATCCAGTGTAAATTTATTTCATTCTGTGGGAATATATTCTTCATCATTACTAGCATTTTAGATTATATACCGGGTATGAAGATGCTTCCTTTGTTGAGGTCTTGTATCTATTATTTGATTCCCCAGAGTACTGTTGTGTGTGAGTGGGCAGATATGCATTATAGCACAGTATTTAGATTGGAGTGACCTTTAAGAAATACATTTGTAGTACAAGTACATCTGTAGTAAAGTAAATGTTAATCATATTTTCTTTCCAGAAGAGTCATTTTTAAAACTTGTAACATATGCATACCGGTACATTTCAGAATATTATAATCAAATCCATGTAGTTTGTGTTGATTTTAAAATGTGATTGCAACTTCAATATAGGCCTACCGAACTATACATACCAATGATATGAAGACAAGAAAAATTGTCATTTTGTTCATTTACATGTACAGTAGTACATTATAATTGCTTTCTGGTATAAACTGTTCTTTGATTTCAATAGAAACATTAAAAAAGCTCCTATGCAATTGTGCATTTAATGTTATTAGTCACATCTGATTTTGTTGAAAATATTACCTTTTGAATAAAAAGTAAGAAGTTTCATATTTTATACATTTGCACATCCAAGTCTAGAAATGCTAATGATGACTTCCAAAGATGCTGATGAAGTCTGTAAAATTGTGCAAACTGCAAAAATATTTTGAATTAATCATGATCATGACTCTGGCATTTCAATTGTTACATTATAGACCTTTACAATGAAGCTGCCATTAGTGGCCATCTGTATTGGTATGTCATTTAAATGGATGTACATGTAAAATCCTAAATCAACACAAATTGATTGACCTTATTATTGACCTCGATTTGAATATCATTTAATCAGGTGTGGATTTAAAACATTTGTACCTGTGCTTAATAGCTATGAGTCATTTTATGTCAATTTTTACACAGGTTTATGGTTATTATGTACACAGGTTCAGGTGGTTCCATGTCAAATCAAACATGTAGCAGACTAATAAACAACTTAGAGCCATTCTCATACATTGATGTACTGTAAGAATACATGTACGAATACATGTACATTCGATCAGAGCTCCTGAAGGCTTTGTATCAGCATTAAATGTAGCCAATCGGTCATTTAATGACAAGTTTTACAATGACTTAATGTTGGGATGGTTGTTTTACACAGGTTTATGGTTACTAAACACAGGTTCAAGTGTAACCCTTACTATGTTTCAGCAAACCATGTCAAAGCCTGGTAGACCAGCTACTTACATGTAGAGCTCATCTCATGCATTAATGTAATAATCATTCGATCAGAGCTCCCAAAGGTTCTTTGTATAGGCTTGGGGCTAGCATCTGGCCAGGGTCTAACAAAATATTGACAAGTCATTGACCCGGTTTTTTTTAAATAGAGAGGAAAGAGGGGGTTATTGGAGACTTTGCAATCAGGGATTTTAATGTGTAGACATGGTTTGGGGGAAAGTGGATGACATATCATTTAATTTCTATTTTGATGATGGGTTAATCCATCTTCCTGACTTTTTAATGTTAATGTTATTCCTTTAGAAACCCGTCCTCCCTCCCCATTTCCCCCTCTTTATGTCTACATCTGTGTGCCTGCCTGTCTGCCTCTCTGTCTCACTCTGTCTCTACCTCTCTCTGTTTTCCCCTCTCGCTCGCTCCCCCTCTTTCTCACTCTCTCCCCTTGCCTTCAAGAGCAAGAGCATGGGAAGTAGAGAGAGGGAGTTGAATAGCCAGCAAATCAATTTATAGAATTTTGCTGCATTCTGATAACAAATTAGTCTGGTTAAATAACAACATAAAAAAACTATGGAACACTTAACATGAATTTGATTGGGTAAAGATTGTGCTGGGGGGGGGGGGGAGAGATTCTTTTAGGCTGTTATATTTATTGTTATGAATGCCTTTTGGCTATAATTACAATTATTTCGTGTGTTGAAGATTTAGGGGTTTTCCCTGTACCAATTTTGAATGGTGGAACAGCTTCTTCTGCTTATAATGTTACCATTTAAAACATTTCAAATCATTTCAATCTTTCTTCTCTTTTTCAGATAACAGACGAGGGTATCACACACATAGGCAGCCATTGTAAGAATCTAACCACACTTAATGTCCAAGGTTGTGTAGTAAGTATTGCTTACTCTCCTTCAAGGTATTATATAACATTTTAAAACCACCTTGTCACTATCCCTATTCGACTATCCCACAGTAAGCTGACTGATACAGATTACAGTTCTGTTATCTCTCTATTCTGTCTTTCATATCATTTTTTAAATTTCTGTAAGGACTTTACCCGGGTATGACATTCTTTTATGATGTTTTAGCCTTACACCTGTATTTAGGGCATAAATTACATGTAGGTAAATAGAAAATCTTCCACTGTACAATGCTCAGTATGTGAACTCCAGTCTATGTTTTACCATAGAGTATTATTGACATCTCAGTTCCTTCTTTTAAACAAAGGCAATTAATTTGAATAGAGTGATGGCTTGACTATAGAATTTTAACAAAAGTTTGTGTCTCTTCATGTACTGATATACATTTTCCCTTACTGCATGAAATAGATTGGAAGCGAATAGCTGTTGTTTTTTATTGAGAGAGGCTAGACTAATTCAATTTTGTCATGTAGTATCTGACCCAGGGCTATCAGGGGAACCCCCTGGTGTGAAAGGAATTACATTGAGTAAAATCTAGATGGGGGCTCAACTGCTGAACCACCCTGGAGCTTTCATTTGTCTTATTTTTTGTTTGAATTACCCTTTTCTCATAGTTCCTATGTGGGCATTATATAGTTTTATGGAAAGACATAAAAATATATTCCAATAGCGTATCATGGTCAAGAAGTATTTTTTCATGGTAGTGTTGTACTTTTATAGTTCATGTATTGTTAAAGCTCCCTATTTTAACAGAATGTTTAGACTATGAACCAATGTAACAAATGCTTAAATGTGATCTCAAACAGTTGTGGTAGATTATCTAATGGTTTTCTATATCCTCTGTCTTTTTCCCCCTCTCTCTCTATCTGTCTCTCTGTCTCTCTGTGTCTCTCTGTCTGTCTGTCTGTCTGTCACTGCCTCTGTCTCTGTCTGTCTCTCTCTCTCTCTCTGTCTCTCTCTCTGTCTCTCTCTCTCTCTCTCACTCTGTCTCTCTCACTCTCTCCCCCTCTCTCGATCTCTTCATGCATCCCTTACAGCTGATCAGTGATGATGGTATGATAGCTCTAGCCAAGGGTTGTAGAACGTTGCAATCACTGTGTGTATCAGGCTGCACTCACCTTACAGATAACACACTCAGTGCATTTAGTCAATTTTGTCCTAAAATCAAGTAAGTACTCTTAATTATTAAGAAATAACCTGGAGATGTATGATTTTATCAATAATGGACAAAATTTTAAAAATCTAAATTGATTTTGAATATGATTTTTTGTTAATGTACATGTATCTCCAGTCTGACAGAGATTTAATATGTGTACATGTATATTCAAGATCGAGTTCATTTATTTACTCTCATCATTAAAATACAGAATATATATAATAGTCACATTTACAAATACCGAATAAACATACATAAGTATCATACATCCAAACAAAAAACATAACATAATGAAAGTGAAGGGATGAACTAAAAAGGAGTATAGTCCTTATGCAAGAGTCCATCATCCATATATAATATTAATAATATTCAAATGAAATGTCTTACTATTGGAAGCATGAAAATTAAAAAAAAGGGGGAGGGTAAAGAGCCTGGTGGGTTATTGCAAGTAAGATTCAATTACATACATTTTGTATTGTATCATATTTGCTTATATGTATAATGTATGGTTAAAAGTATTTTTTAGGAGAATTAGAAATAAATGAATGAATGAATGAATGAAAACAAAATGTGTATCTTGACACTTGTTTCCTCTGCTGCTTTCAGAACGTTAGAGGTGTCAGGTTGTTCACAATTCACAGACAACGGCTTCCAAGCCCTAGCCAGGGTAAGTCTTGGGGTTTGACCGAACAGCAGACAAAATGGTGACATCCTTGAAGGAAAACACTCAGTGAACTGTTTGCATATGCCTTTAAATTATTAGGATTCTATTTTGCATTGAGTTTAATTTTGTGGTTAATATATCAAATATAGAGATGATTAATAATAATATTGATTATTTAGGAGCTTTAAAAAATAAAAAGTATCGTAGCATTTACAAAATAACAGATTTTGAAGAGAATCATAAATCTCATATAATGGGTGAATCATATTCTATTACTGAGGGAAGAAGTATGTTTTGGGGGATCTTTTGAAAGTGGCAAGACAGATTAATTCTCTGATGGAAAGGGGGATATTGTTGAAGTGAAGAATGATTGGTGAATGCTGAAAGTTAAGTTACTTTGAAAGGGTGGTAAAAACTGAGTAATAATATGTCACAATGTCTATAGCAAAATATTGTCTTTCTATTTGATTGTGGTAAGAGATTTTATTTTGGTAAACAAATTAAATATGCATCTCAAATCTGTAGAATTTAGGGTAATTTTGATGATATTCATCCATAGTTAGATGTATGTGTTTGTTGAAGTAAGTATTCACAGGTGGTCTACTTACATTTGAAAATTCCAGAGTAGAAATATAAGAATGTGTAACGTCTAGTATTGTAGTATACTACTGTATGTTTGAAATGTCTGATCTGTAGTACATACATGTAACTTAAATACTCAAAATTTAAGAGTAAGAGTGGGAATTTTAGAATTATAAAATGAAATTTGAGATTTGAGATACATGTGTTCAAAGCATGACCAAGACAAATCATGCTTGCTAAGAGTAGTTTTTAATTTTCCATAATTTTAACATTTTAGTATAGAAAGTTGAATTATAAAAATGGTACACCCAGAGTATTTTTCTCTCACATTGTTGCCATGCTCTTTATGTGTTTGTTATTGCTATAAATTGTTACATGTGTTTTCTCATTTTCCTCTACAGACATGTATAGACCTAGAAAGAATGGATCTAGAAGAATGTGTTCTTGTAAGTTTTCTCAATGACTGTGTAATGTATTTCATGTATTATGTAATATTTCTGCTTTTAATGATGCTTTGAATGATGATGTACATGTACATGTATATAGATACTAATAAACATGAAGATATAACTAATGTTAAAAGCAATGATTGGGATCGATATCTTCATAAATCCTAGTCATTGCTTGCTCATGAATTTGTATACCCCCGTAATACGATTTCTTCTGAGTACAAACAAGCACACCAAGCAGATTCTTAAACAAATAGATACGGCTTGAATGCTCTAATATTTTTCCTATATAGAAATGTATGATTGACTTTAATAGCATCACATCAGCAGTGCAAATCGGGGAATAATGAATCGGTACCTGTATTATATAAGTTTCTTGAGAAACTTAACGACTGAATCATGATGAGCTATTTGATAGATAATTTATTTTTGTTGCTCTAACTCTTTTCCTCTCATGTTATGTTTTTGTACATAGATTACAGACACTGCATTAAGTTATCTAGCTTTAGGATGCCCCATGCTACAGAAGCTGGTGAGTGGTAATTCCATTGTTTTGGGTGTTTCTAGTCCACCAGCGCCTCTATGTCACGTTATGATGATTTGAATATAGTTTATAATATTTCGGAGCCATCACACAAATTATATCTGCATTAATACAGTCAAGAATATAAACAAAGATGAGAAAAGACCAGGTGTGTATGTGTTCATTTTTTTGTAATTTATTATCATTATTGATTAATTTGACTGTATTTACTTGGTAGTGTATGTGTTCATTTTGTGTAATTTATTATCATTATTGATTAATTTGAGTGTATTTTGTTTGTTTTTCTCTTTAAGGGCCATCCTCACAAGCATTCTGCTTTTCTACTGGTCCTTTCCATATTCCATACTGTATTTCCTAATATTGTTTGTATGGTTAAATATATATCTAGAATCTCTTGAAACATATCTGTTAGAAATTAATCTTTTTGAATAAGGGGCTATATCTGTTCTAAAAGCAATTGCAAAATGCATTTAGTGACTGCGAAAAAATAAGAGGTAAATTGTTTTTTTAATTTTCCAAACAGCATTCTAAATTCATTACGAATACTTATGGGTTGATATTATAGCTCCATACTTGATGATGAAATGGAAAATATCAGTACATGGTATCATGAATTGGATTATTTCTTATTTTATATTGCCTCTCCCCAATCGATTACCAATGCATTTATAAACATATAACTAAACTTGGAAGAATGGGTCTGTATTATATGATAGACATATAACCCACCATTTATGTAACTCATGAAAAGACTAATATGGTGTTCTTATTATCGTTTCAAGACATTATCCCATTGTGAGCTGATCACAGACGAAGGCATCCGTCACATCGGTACTAGCGGCTGCTCTACAGAACACCTCCAGGTCATTGAGCTGGACAACTGTCCTCTCATCACAGACTCCTCACTAGAACACTTGATGGGTTGCCAAGGGTTACAGCGGATAGAGCTGTACGACTGTCAGCTCATTACTAGGGCTGGCATCAGGAGACTAAGGGTAAGTGATGCTAACTGGTTGATCCCCTCGTTGATGTAGCCTTTCAGGGGAAATAAGGGAGGGGGGGGGTGATTTGGACCATCATATATATAATCCATAACGACCTCTCAACTGTGACAACAAATTATGTTACTGCTTCTGACTGCTTTCTCACATGTTCCTTGCATATTTGAAACATTTCTATAAAGTTTGCAAAAGTTGTGCCTCCATTATTCATTATTGTGTGGTCAAGTCATTGTCACATATCAGGCCACCTCAGGCCGTAATGGACATAGGCATGTAAATGTCAGTTTTTGCAGTCCGTTATCGATTAGCCTGCAACTTCATACATCTGTTGTTCATAACATACCTTGTGAAATTGTAGTAAAACGATTTGACCTGACTCTGTATCTATCTCTGAAATCTCACCACACTTTAGACGTTTAGGCTAATCTTTCATCAAGTCTTAATTGGCTCTTTTTCATTGTCCCTGATAAGAGTTGCTAATGGCCGACAACCTTTAAGCAATGCAAGGATATAATGGAAGATGGGAAAGTTATGTGTCACTTTGGTATATTGATTCCACCATTTTAAACCTGTAGTCAGGAGTTTGATTCAATTACTTATTTCACCCAGTTTGTTTTCTTCATTGGTTAATTTTTTTTTCTTCCTGTGTCTCCCATGTGCAGACTCAGCTGCCTAACGTGAAGGTCCACGCCTACTTTGCACCTGTCACGCCCCCTCCATCAGTGGGCGGAGTCAGACCCCGGTACTGTAGATGTTGTACTATATTGTAGAGACTTCTTGACCGGTACAGTCTGTCCACTGAACATTTAACCAGCACATGCAGTCTCTGACTGAACGCTTGACCAGTGCTGACTGAACGCTGCCACTGAATGCTTGACCATCCACTCCTTGCTCACATAGAATGGAACATGAACCATGGAGACGGAGAAGGGTTGCTCCCCTAACAGTGCTTTGATGTGTGAGTAATACTGAAATCGGGCTACTAAGACTCTATTAAAGCAGAAGGCCGGAAGCCAGACCAGATGATTTTCTCGCTACTTGGATGCGTGCAGTTCCCAACCCAGTGGCACTGATACAGAAGGAGAGCCTGTGTGTTACCAGAGATTTTCTTAGACGGTTCTGGAGGTATATGCATCTGTGGTCTTCACCACAAGCCTGGGTTATTCAGTGCATGACATCAATAGCTAATATTTATCGCAGTTCTCATTTAGTTGCTCTCTTAGAGTGTGTTGTAACATGTACATTTCAAAGTGTAGTGCCATGTTTGGCATTACTGGAACTCTCAAAGGAAGTTTTGGGGGCTATTGGAGAGTATTTATACAAGTTTGTGTAGGCCAGTTATGACATATGACTGAAAAGAATTTTAAATGTTAAACCTATATACCCATATCTGCCCAAGCACTAACTGTACATTGTACACAAACCTTTTATTACCCCTACCCTTTTGTGTGTATTCATTAATTTTCAGTACTGTCTGTAAGGCAACTCCGCATACCAAATATCTTGTTATAAACACATTGATTGTTTCTATTATTTGCAATGTCACACCAAAAACTGTTCACACATGTGTACATACCAGCAAAGGCACACTTTTAAATCCAAAATGTAATGAAAAGTGTACATTTTCTATTTTTGCATTGTAGGCACTGCCCCCATCAGAATTTGACAAATTGGCGTTCTGCCCAATATGAATCGTTGAAACTCAAATAATGATCATGTGATTCTGACAAGGTCTTTACCGTATGCTTCCGTTGGGGTGGTCCACAAACAAATATTCAAACATGTAAAATTTGAATTTGGAAGGAGTATGAACTGATATGTGTGAAGCACCAAGTCCCTAGTGGCTGGGTTACAGTGCTTGCTTTTAAAAGAGCTCTATGACTCTTAGATGCACTTTGGTCCATACTTTGAACATTTTCAAACACATTTTATAACTAATATTTCGTTTATAATCGTGGTTGGGGATGAAATCATGGTTTTCAAACCTGTACCCCAAAAAAGTCAAGCTGTTGTTGTTGCATGTTTAATCCCCTTGTGGACCACCTTGCTTCTGTAATATCCAAACTTTAAAAGGGTTATAGCAGGAAATGGGAATAATGTCATGTCTAGTAATACAAGAAAGGAACTTCTTATAATCATGTATAGATAATACATTAATTATAACTGCATCATTGATGGACTTCAATTATTTTTTTGAAATGTACATTCATTTAACATTTGATACACTGATTTTGATAGCTCTGTAAGTTTGAACACTGCAATAATCCTCAGTTTAGTACATTTGTCTTCATATGGTGTATGCGCACATATCATTATTTTTAGATGTTGCAGTATGCCAGACTTACATGTGGGTGTAGGCGTATTCTCGATAAAGCTTCACTGCATGTGAATGAAGAGTATGTTGACAGCTTTGCCTGATATGAAAGAAAAAGACGGGCACATTCATCAAGGTTTTAGGGTTTTCTTCAAGTAGCATCTGACTGTTGGTTCTGTTTAGATTGACCAGTTGTGATGGGAGATTGTTTGATTGACCAAAGTACTGAATCTTGGAGCATTTTTTTTTCTTCAGGGGTTGAATAAAGACTAGGCTGCAGCTCTATTATATGCATCATACATTAAAGCATACTATGTTTACTCAAGACTTGGATGTCATCTGCTTGGGCAGTAACTGAAAAGAATTGGGCCATTCAATTCATATCTACATGGTATTGCAATGTATAACCTCTGCTGTTTGATAGATCATGTTATGCAAACTCTTCATAAGAATGAGGGAGAAAATGTGTGAACAAATATTCCTTTCAAGACTAAAGTGGAAGAAAGAAGTTGGTGAAATATAATTTATAGTTGGCATGTGTGCTGATAGGATTTCATTATGAAAAGCCTACAGTTGAATCCTATTTAGAGGCATGCATTACCATCCTACCTAGGAACAATAATAACTTAACAAAAGTTGTGGTATTGCTAAAAACACAACTTTAAATCTCTAATTGCCATTGTTTGATCAGTCAATAGCAAACTTTCAGTCAGTCAGTCCTGTGGGTCACCATTTGCACTAGCAACCTATTCATGTATGTAGAAACTTGATATGACCAAATAGTACATGAATGTGCATCCATCTATTTGACACCGGCTAATGGAGATTGGATCTTCAAACGTTGACATTTTATTATTAAGAGGCCACTGATCAGCCCTATATATATCAACCCCAAATATTCACACAGCTTGTACACATGCAGACGTCGCACTTTGTGCGTTTGAGAATGATCACTGCCAAAGTGATGGAGATGCTTCATGAACAACTTTTGTTTGCCCTCTTGGAAACGATACTTCCACCTGTGTTACATAGAATGTACCGCCGGTTCATAAATGAATAATGATTATCTTCATGAACATGTTTCCAGCAGTCTTCTTGATGAGTTTTACAGTTTTGTACAAGCGACCTTTATTGGCCCTTGTGCAGATAGTATTTCCTAGGTGGCTTATATCTCGAGCTCTAGCTTGTTCAGACCAATGGAGATACACCTAGGTATACAGCGAGGTGATGAATTCTTCTCTAAATATGTTCAAAGTGAAGAAATTTTGTAAAGGATGATGAAAGCCTACCCCTTTAGCAATGGTAATGATTCTGATGGAGAGTTGGAGACTGACATTTTGATGTAAAATGGATGTGCCATGGAAGATTATTGGAAATTAAGCAAAGGAACTGTCTGAACTCTGATACATGTATGCAGAGAGTGTTGTGTGCATATCAGCTTAGAATCTGAGTGAAATCCAAGAATTATGAGCTGCGATTTATATTCTACAGTGGTAGTGGTCAGCTCCTTGAAAACGAAGTAGAGAATTTTTGACGATTGGCCTCTGTAAGCTATCACTTGATTTTCTTGTCCTTTTGTGTATTTCTGCAATCAACTATCTGTACATATTATTCCAAAGCTAATTTATATACAACAAAGGTGGATGGAGAAAGAAGAACTTAGATAGGTATTTAATATGCAGATGTGATGATGATTACATTTTTTCTAAAAAATTTAATACATGAATGTACTAGTACTACATCTGTTATCATGTTTTTGCAACACAAAGCTGTAATTACATAAATGAAAAGCATATAAGAATTGTTATGATTAGGTTGTGGATGGCCTATATCCTAGAAATGAGACAGAATCAGAAAGATATTAGGATGTAATGGGCTGTTTGGATGAGGAAATATTGATATGTTGTTGTGTTTGGATGGAAGTCTTTGGGTACAAACTAGAAGAAAGCTTTAATACGATAGTATTGTATTGTTGTGGACACCGATGTAAGATACTCACGCTGTGTGAACTCACATGCATCATATTTAAAAACACTTGTACAATATATTGACAATGTGGGATCACCAAACACCAAGCCCTGTTTCATGAAATTTGTTATCAGTAACAACAGATCCGCTCATAGCCAGACAAATGCATTGGCATGTTTGCGCTTGTAAAATAATGTCTGTCCAGATTACTCCCCAGGGAGCGAAGTGTGTCCGCTATCATGTGCAAATTAGCAATTGAATCCAATGACAAGGTAATAATGATTTCAAAGGAATGCGCTTAGAAACTTAGTATTACGTCATTTACGTGTCATACAAATCTGACTATTATTTAAAATGTAAAGATTTCAGTAGTTTATAACAATTATTGTATCTTGTTATTGATAACAATTGTTATGAAACAAGGCCTTTATAGAAATCATTGTTTCTCATTTCATTTGAGTACACAGTTGACATAATCATTTACAAGCACTTCAAATGTACCATGCATACCATGTACCATGTCTTGGTGCCTTACATACACTATCGCATGTACATCTGCTTATTCATAATGGATCAAACATGGTCTAAACTAAACCCCTCAAAAAATCTCTGTGATTCAAGTTTTAGCATTAATAACCATCTTGTTAGTATACTATCATACTTGGCGTTTACAGTGATGCCCAGTTTGTAACCATTATGTCATCATGGAATGTGCAGTTCACCTGAATATGAGGCCAAGTCAAAAGTGGCCTTTTGACAAGGCCTCCTGACTCGGGCTATTTTCCATGACAATCAGCGGCTGAGATGAGTCTAGCCGGCGACAAAGAGAGATCTAGAGACCCATGTAAATGCTCGATCAAGTGGCGTTAGCTGACGCCACTCCCATGGCATTCACCCAGGTTTTCGCAATTAGTCTCTTTTTAGTCACTCGGCGTCTTGTCAAAAGTTAAACGCTTCATAATGCATTTCTATTCCTTCAGAAATACAATCCGTCCTCCAAATGACGAATTCACTGTTGACAATAACAATGCATTTTGAGACACTTCACTTTTGCCTTTGCCCAAATGCAGGTGTACTGCACTTGGTTGCACTGTCTATGCAACATACATGTATGGGACAAGAAAGTGTGCACTTGCCCTATTACAGCAGATTAAAATGAGAACACTTGACTTCAGACACATGACTTAGTTCATGCTTTCATATTAATTAATCCTTTAAACTTCTTGCAAGCATTGCATCTAAAGAAATTGATTGTATTTTAAATGTATAGGGTATTCATGAAAAACTTGAAAACTGTGTCAAGTCATTCATGATTTCCACGATAAAGAAAAGAAAAAGTGTGATATTGAACTGTGAATGGAAGAAAGATGTGCCGTGTTTGAGCTTTTTACGAGATTATTTGAACATTATAGTGGGCCCTGGCATTTATTACTTTTTTTCTAGTTTTTATTATTTTTATTATTGAGATTGCAATGTACATGTATGCATGAGTCTTGCCTATTTGCTATGAATGAAGGAGCTGGAAAAGGATTTTCTTTCTTTCTTTTTTTGCTTGTATTTGTCCAGAATTTGAGTCCGTCAACTAGTATTCATATCTGTTATACTTTCTTCCTGTAGTATTTATCACTTCCAACCACTTTATGAATTTTGTAGAAAACACATGTCTAAACTTTAGTTATGAGGCTTTAAGAAGTTGTCTTGATAAAATATTCTTAGAACATTTTTCTTTTGTCATGTTCTTCAATGAAGCTTGTTTACAATGTTTATTATTCAGTTTTTTTAAGGAAAGTGCTTTATGAGAGAAAAAAATGTACTTGATGGAAACGTAAGATAGTTAAATAATTTAAACCGTGCTCTCTCTCTCTCTCTCTCTATTACTCTCACTCTCTCACTTTTACTCTCACTCTATCTCTCTCCCCTTCCCCTCCTCATTCTGCCTCCTTGCATATTGCCTTTTCATCCCTATGTTTTTTTTAAATACCTATCCTTAACAAAGAACTACATTTGTATGAAATATAAATATATATGTCAAACAAATTTCTCAAAAGTAGTACTACTATTTGTGAATAGTCCAGAACCTCAACTTTGGAATTGTGGTTTAAAAGTGTTTTCCCCTGTAATAAGAGATAGGTTTATCATTTATTTATTTAAATATTGATGTATTATTTAGAACTCTTTTGATAGAAATTAATTCAGCATGTCTAATCTTAGTTTTAAAAAGCATGAAAACGACATCTGATATATTTTTTTCATTTTAAGGACCAATCTTTGTTTGTTTTAGACATTGTAAGATTCATACAATTTTTGCTGCAAGCATTCAGATTGAATACCATTTTGACCATGGATATTTGAAATATCTTTATTTCTATCAAATTGAAAAAATTGACCAATATTTTAAAGTAAAAATCAATTAGTACTCTGTGTTTAACAAGAAGGCAATCGTATTTGCACCAAATATTTTTCAAATGAATTTATACTTTGAAATGCTTGTATCCAAAGTAATTTGAAGATAGTATTTTCTAAAATTTAATTTTATATCCATTTTATTTTGTTCATTAATAGAATACAGTTTTTATTTTTCTGTGAAGTACTACAAATGTAGCAAGATGACAATATTTATGAAGTTATTGAAACCTTTTGTTATTCTTTTTTACATAATTAGGACGTCGTAATTGCCATAGAGATGAACTAAATAATGCTCTGTCAAAAATCATTCTTATCTTTGTACTCCACTATTTTTCCTCTTCTTAAAGGATATTTCCCTTTCTTAGCTCCTGAGCGTGAATCAATATATGACATGTTTAGTACAACTAAATCCAAATTTCTTCATCTGACTGTAGTATGACAAACATGCATGGAAAACAGATGAAATTAAAAGTAATGTAAGTATGGTGTGCTGATTTGTCGTAATTCTTTTGTAATTTCTATGTTTTTTTAACAAGATTGTTTATAAATGTACCAGTTGCTCTTAAGAACAGATAATAAGTAATAGTGAGGACTACATGTTTGTAATAACTTTGAATATTAGCAATATTTTTTTTATTTGCAAGCAATTATTCAAAGGTTTTGCGTACAAAGATGAAACATAGCCTTAAGAATTCATTTTTAAATGGTGTAATTTCACTTTCCAAACAAACATGCTTAAAAGCTTATGTAGAAGTAAGGTAGCATGCAAGTAAGTGCAAAGTACATTAAGTTATGAAAATTAAAGAAAAAAAACACAAAAATATTAAAATGCAGGTTATATATATATGAATGAACTATGTCTGTCACATCATGTTAAATAAATACGAAAAAAACAAAATAGTACTCTGAAAAGTTTGTGTCTTGTTTGTTTTCTTGTGTAGTATGAACAAGGTTAGAAATATGAGACTATTTCACATTTAAAGTTCATATGAGGACGGTTGAATTGTCCATAAGGACCCAAAAGGTGTTTGAAAACACTGGGAGATTTGAAACAAGATTTGAAATTAGTGTAATGGATTGGAAACAATATATCTATTCACATTTTATTTGTTTTCTGTGAATGGGCTAAAACTTTTTTTTATGAATGTAATTGTGATAAGAATATCTTAAAGTTATCCTTGCTGTTTGTAGTATAGAAGAGGAGATGGTCTTTTTAATTAAGAAATTGTGAATCCTACACTAGAAGGCATTTTCTGGTAGCTGTTCATCTTTGAAATTATGAAATTCATTATCTTATATGTCAGAGACTGGAGAAATAACACTACAATATCAGTAAACTCTGTGGGCAAAATATATTTATTATATATATATTTCAACTCATATAGTCTATACACACATGTATAAAAGTCAAGATGAATCTATTCTGATAATATTGCACTAAGCGGCATCGTTTCACGAAACTGTCGTACATACAAGTTTACCGACATCCCATTGAAATGCTTGTTAAATTCAATACACATGTTTCAATGAGTTGTCGGTGAACTTGTACTTGTGACGGTTTTGTGAAATGCTGCTCTGCTTTTATAAGATATGGCACAGAATTGAGAGAAGCAAAACATTAAATTCAATCCAGCAGCATTAAAGTTGAGATAAACATGCATACCACTTATATACAGTTTGATACAAAACATTAATAAACACATAACAAATGGCAGTGCTATTTCACTGAGGGCCAAAACTTCAAATGCCCAATGCACTTTGGTCTTAGACTAGTTTGACAGTTATCATTGAAGGCTCTGGTTCTGGTTCTGGGAATTTTTACAGGAAAGGAATAAATAATTCATGATTTCTATTGTTCGGTTTTTGTAAACGTTCAGGTGGTGCAAACATGTGTGGTAGAGATAGGTGCATACTCTGCTATTTATTTGCTCGTTACTCCTCTTCGTTTTAATGTATTTCTTTTTCTTTCTTTTATTTTTTGTATTGTATTGTTTTGAACTCGTAAACAATTATTTGTCAAATTACTGCCGTCTTAATTTTAATTGTGTACCTCTCTATACAGTAAACATTTTCTGTCCCTGTTATTTTTCAAGTCTACCAGAAACCTATTCTTTACAAGCTCTGCTTTTATATAGGTCCTGCACATTTCACAGTTTGTACTTTTGTCTGGGTTTTCCTTTAAATGATATTTGATAATTGATAATTAAGCAATCAGCATAAGCAAACACTATTATTTGACCAGTGAGGGCACTTTTATTATAGTTTATTTCAGTCTTTGCACATTCTGACAAATTTATAAAAAAAACAATGCAATGAAATCAGAAGAGAATTATTTACCAGTATACAAAGTCTATTGCCCAAACAACAGAGGCACTTTTGACACAAATTTGAATGTCCATTTTAATCTTTACAAAATTCTTAAACATTTCAATACAAAAAGCAAATCTGCACTGACAAAGAAATAATTTGCTTAAACACGGTGTACATCATCAACAACCAAGGAACAACCAATGATTCCAATCAAAATGATCAATCTTTACACATTTCAATTAATTTCAATGTAGAAACAATTCTGCACTAAAAGCAGAAGGGTTATGACTGTTACTTTGAAAAACATCTCTGTCATTAAAGCGAGATGCACAAAGTCTCATTTTCCCGGCCAATAAAAGAAGGCACAGTGGACATATTTTATTTCAATATTTGCACAGGCCATCTTTAAGTTTTACATTTCACTATGAAAAAACTGTGCCTTGACACAGAGGTGATTTGCAGAATAAAAGGTCCTTTTCTCTTTGTCTGGCCAGGAAATAATAAAAACATCTGGATTCCTATCACCACTGTCACGAGTCCCTTGAAGATCATCATAAAGTCCTTGTTGTGGTAGGTGGTGCTGGCGACCTGTGGACCAAGATTATCCGATCTTGGGTCGGGAACTGTCGGTAGTAGACATAGATCATGACTGTAGCCATCAGCGCTGCAATGCCAACACCTATTGACAGTCCGATACCTACACTCGCTGGATGCACAAATTAAAAATAATTTAATTTCATATTAAAACACTAGAAACGTGTCATAAAGAACATTGTGTGTACAAAATACTTTCATGACAAGGTAATTTAGCTGGTCCAACTTTTAATATTTGATTGTTTTCTCGCCTTGTCCAAACCATCCCGTGGTCCAAACTAACTCTGAGTGCGCCCACCCCTTCCCCTTACCACCGCCTAGGGTTTATTGCACGTTACATTTCATGAAATAAAACTTAATATTACAAAATATCTTCATCTACTCTTTATGAATATTTGATTCTCTTGGCTTTATAGCATCCAAAGTGTAGGGTTAAGGTTAGGGTTAGAATTAGGCTTTCGGTTAGGTTAAGGCTTATGGTTAGGGACAGATGGAGTGTAGGGTCCAGGGTGGAAGTTAAGAATTCAGTTAATGTAGGAAATTACCGAGGAGCAGGATTGAAGCATAATCCTTACTTTAGTGGTGGCAGCGGTGGGATATATAATAAGCCACACCATCGACCTGACTAGTGACTCCATAATCAGGGCCCTGTTTCATAAAGCTTGTTATCAATGGCAAGTTACAATAAATGTGATTAGCTATGAAATCACTACAATAATGATTGGCTGAGAGGTAGGATTTGTTACAAGAAGTTTTATGAAATAGGGTTCAGAGCGCTATTCTTACTTTAGTGGTGGCAGCTGTATGATATAAAGTCACACCATTGTGATGACAGGTGACTCAAACCAATATGTTACCCTTTAAACAAATGTTTGAATAAACCATGCATAATTAGTTCATTCCTTAATTACCTCCTGCTCTCATCCGCATGTTCTGGACTGGGCTCTTAGTAGGGCGCCCTCCAGGTCGCCTGGGTCTACCCCCTCCTTGACCGCCCCCTGCATTGTTTCCTGTTCCTCTTCCGTTGGCGCCTTGTCCAGGGATTCCATTGGTGATGCCTGAAGTAAATACAAATTTGATCAAGATCCAAAAGAAGTGATCGTTTTTCTAAGGAAATTTAGCTTAATACCCTACTAAATGGCATTCTTTTGTCGTCAAACATTTATGGTATCTTTTCTGCCACAATGCAAAGGACTTATAGTGTAAGGACAGCATATAAATGCAAAAATATTGTCAGAGTAAAATAACAGTATACTTCATGATCAAAATGTGTAATTTTTATATCATTATTTAGACATTGAATGAACTTGGCATTCTTATAGGGGATCCTCTTAAGAGGGAGGGAGACGGTAGACCAAATTCAATATGTGAGTAATTTGGTTAATGCATAGTCTTTTATCGGCATTAGAGGTTAGGAATAGTAAGCATACCGTATTCAGTGAAGAATGGAGATGGTGGGGAACATTAGGTTGATGTGTTGGCGTTAAAACCTATTTTAAAGAGAATTCAATTAGATATCATTTTCTTCTCTGCTACCAACTTAGATTTAATTCAGAAACAATGCAGGATAACGCATTTCAATACTGATTTGAAAATCCACCAGAAGTTACCTGGGCACTGTCTAACTGGCATAATCTGATCCTGGATGAGGGGTACATTGAGGGGCGAGAGACCCGGTAGACCCACTTGAGCAAACACCCCTACTAGCACCTGTTTAGGTGATAACTTCAGCAGGTGGATGTGGAAACCAAGCATACCAGAAGAACCTAAAATATAATACCACAACATTTATTGACATCTCACATCAATATTCCTCTTCTTTTACTTTGTCTTCATCCTTTTAACGTTTCCTTCACTGATCCTTTATAATCATTCCACCTTCTTTTTACATTTTGTTTGCTAATTCTACTGTTTGTGCAATTTGTTCTCTTCATCTTTATACTTTCTTTATAATTGTTGTTCCATTCTATTTGTTTAATCCATCTGAAATTTTTCAGATATTCCTCTTCCTTCATTCACCTTTTTGCCGTTTATCTTCTGATCTCCATAATATTTTTCTTCTGTCTTACTTTTCTGTCTTTTCATTTTGTATTTATCTTTTTGCAATATTCATATCAATTATTATTACTTAATTGTTTGCATCCATTAGTTAATGATCTGATATCTTTAATGGCAGATCACAGAGTATTACTCTGTGATCTATGTACTACACATACAATCTACATGTCTTACATCCATCATTTATATCCAACTTCAAGTACTCCAACAATCTTTCAATTTTCATTTTTCCCTTCATTTTTACAATCATTTTATCATCATTGTATACAATGAACTATAAATTAATGAAAAAGAAGAAAAAAGTAGAATAATTACTTGTAGATAAAATGCAAAATACAAATTCAAATGTTCAAGCTCATCATTTAGTATGAATAAAAATATTATTGCAGAATAATCCGCACCTTGATTCTTACCCGCGACGGTAATATTTTCATTATGGGTTATACTCTTCTGCCAGAAGAATCTATCAGTAGTGCTAGAAACACGCATATGAAGAACAACTGGGTCTCTACAGTGCTTCAGTACAGTCACAATAGTGTAGTTGTGACCCTGAAGAAGGAGACAAGGGAAGGTTAACAGCTAACAAGCTATAGATACAAATGGCACTCTTTGAAGGGCAAAACTGAGAATGAAATTTGATTAGAATATGTTCATACAATATTATTTGAGATGACTTATCAACAATTTGAAGAATTGGCATCAAAATTAAGAATAGCATCATTAAGTATTTAATTGTAATCAGATGCAAAGAGATCATAAATATATCTTGCTCATATAAGTGGGAAAGAAAAAACATTCTAAAGAAATAGGGTAATCATTTTAAATTTGGATAAAAGAGAACGAACTGGGGAAAAATACTGACATAAACTCTCCCCAATGAATAAAGCATCATTTCTGGCAACAAAATAATAAAAATGAATAAGTATGAATCATTCCCGAGGAAGGAAATTATGTCAATAACAATATTTAATTTGTATTCCTATTCACCCAGATTTACGGTACTGAGATATTGAAAACAGAACTCATAAGGCAGGCTAAGATATATGTATAGTACCTCAAATTCCCCAGTGCAATTGTATCCACTGCAATTCTCTATTGTGGTACATGACGTAATACCATAACCTGGTCCAGCTGATTGAATCAGCTCTGTTTCTACGTTCCTCCAGATGAGGCACTCATCCTGATGGGGTGTTGACCCCGGTGCAGCAGGGGATGAACCAGTGGGGGCGACTGAGTCTGGAAAAGGGTAGAATGATCGACAAATATTAGGTACAGTATCTTAGAATAGCTACTCCTTGTTCTTAAACTACTCCTGATTTTCTTTGGTATTAATTGTTATATTTTTTGTTTGTCTTTTTCTATCCTCACATTTTCTAAATTCATGATTAATCTAGCTCTCTCTCGCTTTCCCTCTGATCTCATTTTATATTCCTGTTCTATTTTCTCATTAGTTTCATCACTTTTTTAATATTCATATATCCTTTATATATTGTCCACCCTCTCTCTCTCTTTCTCTTATATCTCTTCCTTCTCCAGATGACATCTTTTATTTGTCTGTTTCATCTTATGAGTGCTTTCTATTTTTCCACCTTCATCTGTTATGTCTTGTTTATTCAGCTTTATTAAACTATTCCAGCAAGTCTGGGCACAAGCACTTTAGTTTCACTTGTCGATACAGTCCCAACCAATCCCTCGCAGAAAGATCCTCTGACCATGCTCTGACCCTGTGGTAGGAAATGAGTGCTCTTCATCAAGGGACATCTAATGGAGACTCATTTATTTTTAGACTTTTGTCCTCAAAGCTGCAGACTGAATCCTAGTTTGTTTTCATGAAGGAAATGTGCAGCATAAATAATAAGTTAGTGCACTCATTTTTCCATTAATGATACATTTACCCTTGCTTATTTTATTCTTTCCCCTTTCCATTTATTCTAGGACAAGTCTAATTCTTTATAACTTGTATCTTGTAGTCTTGTGTTGATTTCAAAATGTAAGTTTTAAGAATAATCATATCAAAGTGTATTTTAAAACAAAGTATCTTTCATATTTCCTGTAATTTTATATGCTCATTGTGTGTACAACTGATTTCAATTGTTTAAAAAATATAAGATATACTTACTGCATGGTGGGATAGGAATAGCAACCTGATTCAGTAAGCCAATGTCAAAACATGACATCCTATTTATGCAGCTTCTCACTATAAACTACAGGGAAAAGAAATGAAGGAAGAACATATTTTGAGATGTATTCAAGTGGTCAGAACCAAGCATACAAGGCCTCACATGCTTCATGCTATACTGCACAGCATCAATGAGTAATAATAATCCTGAGATGACTCGGGCTGGGGTCTAGGGAAAATAAGCATTATACCAATATCAAATTGTATCCCATGAAAGATTCTCTTATTGGTTCATACCTACGTGAAGGTAATTTTGTTTCTAAAGAAACTAACATCGGATACTGAAAGAGATAAGTAAAAAAAAATATTTGTTTTGAAATGCTGTTCCCCTTTATATCTTGTTTATTTCCCCTTTATGATTTTGTTGTTTCCCTTGAAATCTTAACTAAATCATTATTTCCATTTTCTTAATCATTTTCTCCACAATCAAGAACCCCAGCTCAAACTTTCCTCGCATATCCAAGCCCATTTTTGTTCCTTCAATCTAGCCCTGTAATGTCTTGGCACAACCCTTGATACAAAATGTTCTCTTCCCTTCTTATTGAAATCTATGACACACGTTCCTGATCCATACCTAGGTCAACTCATCAGCTGTGTTCAAGTCACAGATTAAAAAGGACAGCTGATTTAGAATCATATAGAAAACGAAATACAACAGTCAACCTGGACTACCAAGAAAATACCACGACTACCCTTTTTGAAAATCAAAGATGACATAAATCATGGATTAGATTAACATTTATAATTAACAAATAATTTATATATCAATAATATAATTATCTTAAACACACGAGTTTCAAGATTGTTTAATCTATACAGCATTTGTAATATCCTATTGAATCCCCTTTTGAAATACCTTAAAATAAATTTATCATATTATATAACCAGAACATGATTTTTATGGGCACCAAAATGGGGTATTCAAATTGCCCTTGAGTTGATTTCTTGAAAGTCTTAGAAATCGTGTTACTTGTACCTCCAACATAAATCACATCAATATTCCTTAAAGCTAAACTTACAAAACCACAGATAATGATGGTATAATTTTATATATTTCAAAGAATATATATCTTGCTTGGCAAAAGTTTCATTGACATATTTCAACGTTCTTTTTTGTTGTTGCAATTTACACCTTTTTAAAAACTAAAATACTAATGGGAATCGAACTCTACATTGTGCATTCAAATGCATTGACTTTGCAAGGTCCATGCATGTCTATCCTATATTAATGTAAAATTGTAAAACAACTGCCGACTGCTGACTATAGAAGATTTTTATTTTTGATCAATCACCATTCTATCATTCTCCAGGAAATGAAGAAGTGAATGTATAAGAATGACTTACGGAAGTAGTCATAGTCTCGAGGTTCAGGTCTGGCTTCATTGCCATTTTCACAAAGGCAGTTCGTTGAGGAAAGATCATATCTAAACAATGATTAACGAAGAAAATAAAGTTGACATTACATAAAAGCCAGGCTGCACTCTTGTCATTTAGAGTTAGGGAAACAATCCTCGTTTATATAAGTGCCATGGAAATAATGATCTATCAAGTCTAATGGCCATTGAGCATGATTTAACTAATGTCTTTAACACAAATTAAATCAGATGGTTGAGATAAATACTGCATTTACTGGCCTTTATCTTTATTTGGGTATATAATTCTGAATGGAATATTCTACATTCAAGGAGAGCTAATGTTTTTTAAACAATTATTTTTTAAAGGTAAATAGGCAAAGCCATGCAATTACCTAATAACTGAAATATATGGTATATGTGTAGGCATGGAAAGATCATCATTTTTTACTACACTCATCACAATACAATAACTTTCAATGTTTTTATCCAATTTAGAACCTCACAACTTTCACAAAGAAATTGTACTGCAGAAACTATCCAGATTGTTCTAGTATTCTAATCTCAGCTCCACTTACCCACGATGATATCCTTGGAGCGGAAAAACTTATACTGCCAGCTTCCCACTGCAGTTGATATGGCGACCGTGTATGAAAGAGGGCTATCACAACCATCCATCACTAGACTTATATTGTAAGGAATGTTCTGTGGAGACACATATATATATATATACACTTTATTAATATATTAATCATCAAATAATTGATTGATCGTTAACAATTTTGTGAAAAACCGAGTTGTGTGAAAGAAGGGAAAACAGAGAATTAGATTGGTAACAGTTTTGATGAGTTTGATAAAATGATCAAAGTTATGAATGTTTGAAAGACGAGTTTATTAAACCTTTGTAATATTTAAATGCTAAACTTGAATGTCTTGGGGGGAGGGTCTATCCCATTTGTTGTAAACTAAATAAATTTCATTTCTTTACTAGTTCTACGCAACTTTCCCTTAGTGTTATGCTCAAGACTTATTATTATCGATATCATATGGGAAGTATCCTTCAATCGATCATATCCTGCTCTGTTTTGAAAAATAGATTTGTTGTTGTTGTTGTTGTTATTTTGTTTTACTGATAAAATTGAAGTGACATTATGATTTGCCAGATATGACATTCTCAAATATAGTGACCACAACTTTCAAAAATCTTAATCAACCTATTATCTTATCCAGTGGCGTACGCAGGATTTTTTCAAGGGGAGGGTTTTCAAATCGGGCCCAAAATTTCTCAACGACTCAGCCAGCCGCTGAATAAGGGGGGGGGGGGTAAGCGTGCACTTTTTTTTTTTACGAGTCCCAAAAAAATCGCAACGACTCAGCCAGCCGCTGAATAAGCGGGGGGGGGGGGGGGGAGGGGTAAGAGGACACTTTTAGTTTTTTGGGGGGGTCTCGAAATTTGACATTTTGTCCAGTTGGGGGGGGTAAGGTCACCTTTTTAAGGTCACCTATTGGCAATTTTTGTTTTTATTATTATTTTTATTATTTTTTTAATTTATTTAAAAATTCAACAAAAAAATTCAAAAGGGGAGGGTTTTCCAAAATAACATACAAAAAACATACACATAAAAAAAAACTCGAGGGGGGGGGGTTTAGCCCCAAAACCACCCCCCTGCGTACGCGCCTGATCTTATCCAATCTTGTTTTTTGTTACCACTGACAATTTTTGCCTGATGGGTAGCCACCGCTATGTTCAGCTGAGGAGGTAATAAATTAATCATACTAACATAATGCAACAAACTTGCATAATGTTGTAATATCCCTAAAGAACAGGATTACAGAATGTGTGACAGTTTATACCCTTGGAGAAAATAATCCTTTCAATATCCTGAGAACTGCCAGAGGAAATCATCTTTAAAACTACCCTCCATCTTATTATCTCCCGGGCAAGTTACTTTTCGAAAAATAAAACGGAGAGAGTTTATACTCAGTAAGCTGTGACTTAACAAGGAGGCATGCTCAGATATCTTCTGATGACTACCCAAATTAATGTAGCCATGGAGACATGACCGTAAGTAGCGAGCTTGGTTGCTAAATCAAGCAATTCCTGTTTAGAAAGTGCCCCCCTTTTGAACAGGAACCGACTTCCTACGTTAAACCTTCTTCGACCTTCAATACAGGTTTGATTCGTTACAATTTAAAGCTGATTCCCTCTTACTAATATTTTTTTTCTAATTGATATCTAATTTCAATTTAATTTTTTTTTCTTGTGACTAAATAATATTGCTTTAAATTATTTTTTAAAAAAGAAACAGCTGTTCTAGAGGGGGTGGGAGGGAGGCTTAAGGCTCAACCCTCCCTCGATTTCATAAAGCCCCCCCCCCCCCGCCCCCAACAAACACCAAAATAAGGACATTTTTTAAAAAACAATACAAAAAATAAAAACGCTTGATTTTAAATGAGTTTAAGCGAGGCACATGTGCATGTAGAAAATGATGCAAGAACTCCCAAGCCCCTGAAAGTCCCCCCCCCCCCTCAAAATTAAATTTTGTTAAATAGTTCCTGAACAAATGATCAAACATATTTTGCCGATCTCAGGTTTTTTTGTGTGTATTTAGTATGTTTTTATTTTTTCATTCTAATTTCTGGCTTTGCAATAAAATCTGCACTTGTTTTTATAATAAATTTTTCAGTTTACTATAGATCAGCCAAAGATAACAGGTAAAACTTAGTGCTTTATTAGGGTGAGCTAATTAGGCTTGTACAGGCTTTCATTCATGGACTTTAAGTACTTGTATTATATCACACATCTGTGACCTTTCCATAAGTTCCTTACATCTGTCACCTGAAGAAACAGCAGGCCTGCATCTCCACAAAATCATATGAGGCCTCTCATAAGCTTCGATGCAAGATGTTCAGATTTCTCAATTCATTGACCTATAACCAATTATCAATTACTGACATTAAAACATGTGTTGATTTGTGACATGAAAGTTGCAATTGATTTAGATACAATTTCTAAACCATGCTTTAATTCTATATTCACAATTCTCTGAAACTGTCAAATATCCTCAGTTCTGGAGGCAGTTTGGTAACTTATCAACAAAATTAATGCAATTTGAGCAGTAAATCACATACCTTTTGCTTTGTTTGATTTTGTAATCATTTCCCAGTTGACAATTTTAAAGACTCTTTGTTTTGCATGTGCTTCAATCATTCAGATACATTGGATGAATTACAAACACTTTAGGGAATAGTGTTTGTAATTCATTCAATGTATCTGAATGATTGAAGCACATGCAAAACAAAGAGTCTTTTAAATTGTCAACTGTGAAGACCCTTACTTGATAATGTTGTTCGACATGAATATAATTATATGTCATGAGTGGTCTTATGACCAATTCAGATATTCACATTAGCAAGCCTGATAAAGGCACCAGCATTATGATTATACTTGCAAAATTAGTGTTGTATTGGTAGCAATGTTAAAGCAAACCAATTACCTTAATCAATTAAATATAATATGTAAAGTGCATTCTTTACATTACAAAAAGTATGTATGTTTGAAAAGTGAATAAAGGAAAGATAGCATAGCGGGTAATCACTGGAAATATATTTTTTGTCTTGTTGAGGTAACATCCTCCTTGCTTGTCAATTAGATGTCATGATGCATGGGCTATAAATATCACATTCACTCACTATTGGAAGAACTTGATGACCTTTACAGTAATCACTGAACTGGATTTTTTGAAAGTTCATTTTGCAGGCTCTTTTTGCTAGTTATCACAATTCCTTTTAAATCCATCCCCTGAATAATATGTATGAGACCCATGGATTATATGGGTTACTAGCAGACAGTCATCACATATCTAACATGGAGCAGACATATAGGTTTCTTATTTTCAAGTTCTCCTCAACTTGTCATAACTCTCTTGGTGTATATTAAGTTGACGACATGCAATGTGGCAGCATACACTCATTGTCGTCATGGCAACACAGAGGTACCCATCACGTACGTTAGGATGAATCACGGCTGGCGAGGAACAAACGCCTTCCTGTAGGGGACTTGGATCGCTCAGACATTGTACGTTCTTGATACCACACTTTGGAGAGAGATCGAGCGTGTACTTTGAGTGAGTGGGTTAAATAGTACTTTGTCTGACTCACCTTGCGACTCCAACCTACTACATTGCCAAGGGTACAAGTTAATGTGATATATCCCTTTAACCACTGCCATTTCCTCACTTACCATAACACCATCAACTTTTGTGCTGATGAAATGTTCACAACTTTTACGATTTTCTTTTCAGATTTGCAAGGTTTCATGGCGCACAAAATCACAACTGACAAAAAACTACATTTTAAAAATGGCTGTTCAGGTTTTGCAGTAGGCACTGTGTGAAGTAGTGTTTTCAATTATAATTTTATATTTCTCCATTTTTGATAAAGGTCATGATTTAATTTCTGAATAAGAGAGAACAATAAACTATGCTATGATTGATAATTCGTGAAACAATATAATGTAAGGATTAGAGGCATTAACTGTACTGCATTGTATACAAACATATATATTTTTTGAGGACCTCGTAACACACCAATGATTTTAAAGATCAAAATCTCAGTTAAATTCTGTAATTTTAACTTTTCAGATGATTGTGCGTAATCGAACAGACAAAAGACAAAGGGGTCCATAACACTAAGGAGAGTGCACAATGCTATATTGGGGTACCTCAAAGACATGATGTCACTGTTAAGCAGATAATTACAAACAAGAGCTTGCCAATTGATGTTTTTAATCTTGATCAACTTGCATAGCCTGTCTAAAAATGGAAACCTGGGAGAATAATATGTGGGATTTTAAGTAAAAGGCATATTATAATTATGCATTCATTATAATGTTTAAATATATTTAGAGATTCATAATTTAAAAGGGAAATGTTTATACCTTCAAGGTCAAATTAGGTTGGCAATATACATCTAGATAACCTTTTATTTCCAATCTTGTACCACCCTCTCCCCCTAACTGTCTACCTTAAAGAGCCTTGGATCCAAAATTCAAAAAAAAAAATTTTTTTTTTTTTTTTTTTTTTACTAGAAGCAGAGTCTTTGATTTTTTTTTCTCTCGAAATATTACATGCAATTATTTTGATTATCAGACTTGAGCCTTATTTAGAGCAAAATATTTAAAAATACACCATTCACAATTGAGCAAAGCATGCACCAAACTTGCTCTCCTTATGAATATCAAGTCCAACCTCTGAGGCCAAGAAGGTTAATTCAATCTGATAATGAGCTACTCCAAAGATCATCCCCATCTCACTTCCTGTCATAATTTGCCCTTCGTTAAAGCCGATTAGATGCTTGGCCCTTATTACTAGATTTCCTGCCCCAAATGAGCCCTCTGATTAATGTGTATTTGTGTGATCATGCTAACATCCTAATTTACTTAGCTCATGTGCATGTACTTAAAGGACAATAGGAAGATAGCCAACAAGAGGGACAAGGTCAAGGAAATGATCAACAAAGGCTTTTAAAAACGTATATATTTGTTGTTTAATTTTTTCCCTTAGTTTCATGTAGAATGCCATTATTTTGAAGACACCTTCATAATATGAGACAGGTATAAAAAGATCTAACTGCACTGCAGGATATCAAATTTTCAAAAATAGCTTGAATGTGTGAATCATTAAAGTGCGGGTTCATAGAAAATCACAAATATGGCAAATAGCGTATTACTAGAAACTGGTAGGCTAACAGATGTCCATCATGCAAGTTTTAGGTCAACTACATATCCGTGATTTATAAAAATACAAATAAAACAACCTCCGTAGCATCTGGGATATGCGAGAGATTCGCTGGGAAAATAACGATGTTTTAATGCCGTCACAATATGAACCAACCCTGCCCAAGCAGACGACATCCCATAGAGAATGAACACAATTGCAATGCTTTTATTTCTCAAATTATAATGGGTTTAGTGTATATAAATGTGATGGCATTTTACACCATTCAAAAAGGGATATGACCCCAATTCTGATAACTAAATTCTTTTGTTTGTAAATACACAGGATAGGGGTTAATGAACACTCAAAGAAACCACACTTTCAAATTAAAAAACCTCCGGAATGATAGCATGGACGTCATTTGTTCCCTCTTGAAACGCTGAACATGCCTGTATGCAGCTGAAAATACAATGGCGTTTTACTTTGTTAACAAGCGACGGGTTCCTTTTTTTTTAAAACCTTGCATTTTTCATCAAAATAAAACCATGCACGGGGTTTAAAGTGAGGCAATAGATTAAAAATTTCGCCTGAGGTCATTGAAGTAAGAGAAATAACTGAAGAAAAGATGACAAAACGGGCACTGAAATTGTGTGAGATGTCATGGGACATCGTCTGCTTGTGCACATCATGTTCAACATGTGACGTCATATCTCGGCAGCGACCGGGGAGCTTTGCAGGTGCTATGTCGGGGCTGTATCTAAGCGTTTTGTAATTTTTAATAATCATTACTTCGAATGTTTCCAAGCATTGGCTTTTGACAACCTTGGCCAATCAAAGTGTCACCTTTGCAATAATGACATTAAAGTTAGTATTTTAAATCAATGAACCTTCTCTTTAAAGCAGCCACATCTGTTCTCAAAACCCACTTGTAAAAAAACATAAGGAGGTCAGTGTGAGAAAAATATTGACACTACACTTACACTTAGCACACGAAGTGCAAGTAAAGATGACTCTCTCTTCCTTACACGATTTTTCGAATAAACGAATAATACTATAATGTTCATTGATATACCGAATCACAATTACCTGATTTGTACATTCTATATTTACCATGTATTTTAACCCAAGTTTTGTCATAAACATGTCATAAATACAATACAACATGCAATGATAGTCAAAGATCGTTAAAACTGACCAATTATATATTATATACTCAATTCAATACCCATAAAGGTTAACTAGTGTAATGTAGTTGTGAAAAATAAAGGGTACAAAAGAATGAAGATTGAAATGTTGAAGAGAGATGAGTTAAATGAAAAATAAAAATAAAAATATGATTAGAAAGGACAATTAGCGAGTATTAAATGAAGCTTGGATGAAAAAGAAACAAACAAATCAGAATTATTAAAGGAGGCGATTTTAGGTAATAATTACAAGTTCGCATGAGATTAAATATACATGATGCATACAAATATAAAAGTATAGGTCATGGCCAGAGAATGATGAAGATTGTTATACACCATCATTCCATCACATTAAATAGACTGTAAGGTGAAAGAATTAAAAGTGATAACCTACTCCTGATCTGACTGAAGGCACAGAGAATATGGTTCCAGAGCAAGATATTCCACCGCATCCCGTTGCCATGGCACAGGTATGAGCTCTAGGGAGGGTCAAAGAGGTCACTGTACTATTCATTTTCGTGCAGTGCACCTGGGCTGGGATCACTGTTAAAAAAAATTGGTCATAATGAGTGAGTGTAGAATTGTTGTTTGTTTGTTTTTTATTAGTTATTCAAATTATTAAAAAATAATTTATTTGGTCAAATTCATTGTCCATTAAGCATTTCCACTTGAAAAACATTAGATTCCAAATGCATCCTAATCAGTAGTGTAATGCGATGAAATATCACGTAAGGCATTATTTTGTTAAAACAAAACTTCCCACAGTCCTAACAATATATTTGGTACCATTTCAACTTTACTTCACAGTTACTAGAATGTCAGAGATTTTTCTTATCAGAAACATCAGGAAATAAAATTATACAAATGTAGCAAAGGTTTTTAAACTTCCATAAAACTGATGACAATTATAATTCCTCAACCAGCATTTATTTCATATTTCAAAAGTCAAATGTATACCTTGCAAGTCTATATAAAACTGCTTCTAATATTACAAAGTTTTGTTAACGTTGTTTAACTCTGTCAAACATTCATTCTCTGTGTTCCTATTCGAGGACAGTTTGACTTACATCAATATTTTTAAATGTAAAATGGGAATTGGCTTAATAGACTGATCATTTCACAATTGAGAGTTTACCTGCTGTTGTACATTCTCTGACAGGGATTATGAAATCAGGGAAAATGGGATATTGGAAGGTGATGAGAGGAGTAGGTCCAGAGAACTTCATTCGCAGCTACATGGAGGAGAGGTTTGTGAAATAAAATTTCATTGGTAAGTGAAAATCAGTCCTCATTTACTGTTTATTTCAGTGTATTAGCAGATATAGACAGTTAACAGTTATGCATAATGCGAAATATAGAGCAAGTAACCAAGACAATCAAAGATTGTTTTATCACCCTCCTTTTTCTGTTGTGTGAGCTAATACACTATCAAGATTATTTTCGATTCCGATATCATTTTAGGGGTCTTACAGTTTTGAATCCATAGCATAACTTTTAGTAGTTGTATCAAAACGGGTGAGAAAATATGAAATATTCACCTTGCCATGTACCGTAGACAGGAAATATAAATAAGTATATCCAAGTTAACAATAATCCCTTGTTTGAAACATTTTGGCACAATCCCATCCTGGCACACATCATGTCTGCTTAAAGAAAAAGGTTTTGTCTCGAAATGACACTGACATCAGACGTTATGACATCTATGCATTATCTCTGTGAATATCCATGTATAATACTTGTGTGCTTCCTCCTCCAAAACTTTCTCAATATCTCTAGTAATCTTTTTTTTTTAAATGATTCTCCACATTACTACTATCTGAACCAATGCAAGACTCAATTGTCATACAAAACAGCAATATTTTCACATTCAGGGCCATCAGTCTAGGATTTCCTTTACACTCATGGCGAATGTACTCAAATAGCATGCAGCTGCTTTTATTTTGAAAGATATCTCATGATAAAACTCGGTTTAAATCCATTGTTTTAACTCTTATCTTTATCATGTGAAGAAAGTAAACAGAAAAAACAGTTGCTGTCGTAGTTTCTGATGAATTTATCTCACATATTATCGGCTGTCCAAAAGAAGGCCTTAAGAGCTATGTATTGTCAATTGCAGTGATGGCCTTCATGCGGGCAGTCAGTCGTATTGCAAAGGAAAAACTTGAACTTTAGGAAAGTCATGAGTGTATTTTTTTACAAGAACATAATATACATATTAAAACTGTGCATCTGTTTTTGAGGCAAAACTGAAACTTGAATGAAGAGATATACATTCAAACATCTGGAACTATTATTTATCACTCATGCATATTTCCGCGATTAGACTTACCCCTATTTCTAGTCCAGCAGCTAATTTTCTAAAATGAACTTGAACTGATATTTGGAGTCTCATGCCAGGAAAAATGTTGTATGTAAGACCTGAAAGGAATGGTGAGAAGAAGGAAAACATGAAGATGTTGAAAAATAACATCTAGCAACAGCTTGTTGATTGTCAAAGCTGTTAAAAAAAACTAACAACTAACGAATTATGACCCATAAGCTAATTTGAAAATCTGTGTAGTTATCTCTTTCCTACAAACTTGTTTCCTTGCTTGGAATAATAGCATAACTTGAAACCTTGTGACATGTCTGTGATCTATTATGAATTTCTTAAAATGCCTATTCGTTCCTGTATCCATCATTTGAATGCTTGCCCTCATGTCACAAATTAAATCGTATACACTCTGTGATGTATTATTCGATTATTGTCTGAATTCCAAATACTATTAATTCAATCAACAACAAAATCAAACTACTCAATAAAACATACATTTGTATGAATCATAGTTATTGGATAAGAAACATCTGGTCTTTTAAAGTGCATGGGTCATGATTCAACACAGTTGCAGATACTTTTGTAATTGATTGGTAAAATCAAATAACAGAAAGCACGTTTAGATCATGTTCTTAGGATAGTGTGGGTGGGGGTGTGGGTAGAAACTCACCTGGAATTGGGTATGTATTTCCATTCATGACTGTCTGTTCAAAGTAGACATTGTCGGTATTACTCAGCACCAGTAATCTCATCTGTGCAGGTGTTGTACACGGGAAGAGCTTGATGTCAAATATGATATCCTTGCGCTGAAAGAAAGAAAATGTAAACAACTGAACGCAGGTCTCTAAAAGTTACTCCATTAGAACAGGGGCATGCATCCACCTGAAATGGCTGGACATGGCTGAATGGCACTCCAGAAGCAACTAGATAGTTGTATCCAACTAAGTATGGCATGTTAAAGTTACTCCATTAGAACAAGGATGGATGCAATAGCAAGATACTATTACACTGAGATTATTCTTGAAGAAACAAGATATTTAATAGAACTGTAACTTGTTATAGTTACTCAATTAGTGCAGGAGATGCATTAAATGGCAAGATAGACCCTACTTTCGCATTACAATGACACTTAATGAAAAACATATTTATCTAAATAATGGTCTCAGTGTAAGGGTTGAATGGAATAGCATAATTCTTGCCAAATTATTCTACAAGAAACAAGATAATAGAAGCAAAATCTTGTCTGTTCAAGGTACTCCATTGGAGCAAGGATAAAGGTGTGGCACTCTATGAAAAAACAAATAAGATAATTATATACAATTAAAAGTATGGTATTTTAAAGTTACTCCATTAAGACAAGGGTGGATGGAATAGCAAGATACTGTTAGACTGAAATTACTCTTGAAGAAATAAGATAATTAATAGAACTAAAGGCTGGTCCGTTAAAGTGACTCCATTGGGGAAGGGGTAAGCATGAAAAGTCTCATTACTACAAGAGCAGTCCGTAATTAATGTGGAATCCATCAACTAACTCAGATGAAGATTGAATAATTCATGTAGACTGATACTGAAATACATAATCTGCGAAGATTTGTTTTATTCTGAGAGAGAGGCTTCCTTAGTTCAGGCCTTCGAGTGGTGATACTGTATCACTATTTATAAAAATTAAACCAAAGTCATATAAGTGTATGTAAGAAACATAAAAATAACCTGTCTGTTCAGTTCCAGAAAGTCATTGACTCATGTAGTTGACATCAACATCCTAGACAGATGCTAGAGAAAGGTCAACCTGTTGTGCTCAAACTCAAAGTTTACATTTGATCATGAGCATGATAGGTCTGTACTAATTTCCCCCCATTTCCTTTTTGTCTTGACCCTAAACTTATCGGTTTTCTGCGGTATAATACGAGATTGAATTATATATTTGAAAATGTTCATATTATTGTGATATTCAGTCATAATAGAGCCGAAATAAAGAAAAAAAATGTATAATACTTTAAAGGATTTTAAAATAAGATAAGACCTTATTCAATTTACAAACATATAGGCCTTATTTGTGTAAACACCTACCAGCATCAGAAACTTGCAGGCGAACCTTGTACAGTCTTTGGACCTTGTGCATGTAGCACTTGCAGTGGGTATCTTCCTGACATTCCTGCTGATCGATCGAATCATCTGATCCCATGCTGCACATTCTGGTTTGAAAGCAGTCTGAGCAGCTAATCAAAAACAAATTCATTCATTATTTGTGCAATTAATCCAATACTTATTTCATTTGGTTTCTCAAATTAATAGACTTGGGGGTGTTTCACAAAGACTAAGATCGACTTAAAGTTGGACTTAACTATGGCAGGCCATTCTTACCATTATGATCTTTAGATAATATTTTTTCCTTCAATAATGAGTTATCAAAAAATGTAAATTCTGTCGTTTTTGTGACCATGATTTGTACGTCCCTTGATAGACCAATGCCAGTAAATGGATAGAGCAAACAGTGGCATGAACGGCCTGTCATAGTTAAGTCCAACTTAAAGTCGATCTTAGTCTTTGTAGAACACTCCCTTGGACATATATTTTCTTGTATAAAATCATCATCTTTTACTACTGTACTTTCAGCAATTTCTATTAGAAAATAATCCATTATTTCAACCATTATCAGCTTTTCCTGTCCAGATATAATTCACCTCCATTTAACCTCTCTGATTCATAGTACTATATGATGGTCATAATCATCTTTGACAAATCACACAGACCTCTCTGACTTTGGTCATCACTGTGACCAGCTGGCAGGAAGTAAGCTGATTCTTTTCTTACTTGAGCATTTGGTACTAGTAAATAAAGTATCTTTCCTGCAAATACAGAAAACAATTACAAAAACTTCCCATTCTATCTTTTATAATGTCTGTAAAGAGCTTACAGACATAGTAGATGCATTGAGAAATCAAGAATATTTATCATCATTAATAATATTAGTATTATTGTTATTGGGTTCTTCAAATTACACAATATTTTGAAGTACAGTGTTTTAGTGTAAATTGGAGATACGTTTGAGATGCTCGCATTTCCTCAAGTATTTCCTAAAATAATTGTGACATAAACATAAATATATAAAAGAGTCAATCCACAAACTTTTGGTTGATGTATAAAATAACCAAGTACCGTCAAGATATAATGACTGTAAGTTTTTGTCAATCAAGGACAACAATGTCATAAATATGTTGGTTATCATTTTGCAACTACATATCCTCACTTACTGTCAATGGCTGCGGAGTTTTGATTTTGATGTATCTAAAGATTTTGTGATTGCAATAGTTTTCTACAACACAATGAAATTATATAACAGATAGACACGCATGCAATATTTCTATGCTTACGACGAGGTTTACAATCTAAAATTAGTAGGTAAAGGAAGTGCTTGTTGAGAGGGCCTACGGATAAAATACTGTGATCGATGTTGCCCTTCTGATCGCACTCTCTACGTACATCTCGCCCACACACTCAAGCAGCTGCGTCGCGTTGATTTGGATTTTAAGTTCTACTTTTTCTACTTCCATACGCTAGTTAAACTAACTTCATGAACTTAGATTACATCAAACCGTTCGCCCAGAGGGAAGGTAATTTTACCAAAATCTACAAAATAAATAACTTTGAAACTTACCTGCCCAAGAACTAAGAGCTAAAATGATAATCCAAATTATTCCAAAAGGTTTCGTTCTCCCCATTTTTCGTACTTTTGATCGAGGGCGACTAAACGTTTAGTATGTACAAATGTCAGTGATGTGAATGATGCACAGTGCACGTACAGTGCACAGGCAGACAGGTGAAACGTGGAACGAGAGGGACTTTCCCGTGTGCAATCAAGCGTGAATTATGGAAATATACGATGGTCACTATGTCCTGCATCAACTCAAGGTGTAAGTTTTTAGAACGTATCATTTTTTTTCTTTAGTTCTTCGTGGTGTTTTTTTCAACATAAATTGCCATTAATGATGTTAGGTATTCATACTCTTAATGATATGATTTCTTTCCCTCAGTTTCGACAATATTGTGCTCCTCGGTCCTTTGGAAAGTATGAATGAAAACTAGTTTCATCGAATGAATTCAGTTGAATGAATTCAATTGAATGAATGAGGAAGGGGACTTCATTCTTGAAGGCCTATATGAATAAACGAAAGAAAAATATAGTGAGTCATATATTATGAGAAAAGCAATTGAAATTGATTGTCATTTTTTATAAAGGTTTGATGTAGACTTGGTTGTTTTTTTCCTGTTTTTTCTTCTGTTTTTTAAAGTTGTTTTTGTTGCATTGTACCCCCTCCCTTCTTTCTCAATCGATTAATAGGTGTCCTATCAAGAGGCTGAGACATTAACAACCGTCTAAAAATTGAAAATGTAACACTCAACAGCAGGGGGGGGGGCAGTGGCGGATCCAGGATGGAGGCCGGGGAGCCGCCCCCCCCCCCCTGGCAAAAAAAAGAAGAAAAAAGATGGAGGAAAAAAAGAAGGGAAAAAAAAGAAGGAAAAAAAGAAAAAAAAAGAAATAAATAAAAGGGGAAAAATATCAAAGGTATCATTATTTGCTCATCTGACCGTAATTAAATGCCTAAAACCCCTTGACTTCCGGTGGCTCTGCCCCCTGGACCCCACCTTAGGCCCTAAGGCAGACGGCTGGATGCTAATCTGACGGTAATTTAATGCTTAAAACCCCTGAGCTTCTGGGGTCTCGGCCCCCTGGACCCTCACGCCAATTAGTGTCCAGCCAGTGTCACAAATAAGGTATCAAAATAAGTTCATCTGACCGTAATTAAATGCCCAAACCCTAAGTTTCCGGGGCTGCACCCCCTCGACCCAACCAGGGACCCTAAGGCGGGCCCCTGCATGCTTGTCTGACCGTTATACATTCCTAAAACCTCTGAGCTTCTGGAGGCTCCACCCCCTGGACCCCACGCCAATTAGTTACCTGCCAGTGTCACAAATAAGGTATAATTATGCTCATCTGACGTAATTAAATGCCTAAACCCCCGAGCTTCCGGGCTCTGCCCCCGAACCCAACCAATGGCCCTAAGGCGGGCCCCTGGATGCTCATCTGAACGTAATCTATTGCCTAACACCCCTGAGCATCCGGGGGCTCCGCCTCCTGGACCCCACGCCAATTCGTGACCTGCCATTGTCACAAATAAGGTATAAAAATATGCTCATCTGACCTTAATATTATTTATTGCCCAAAACCCCTGAGCTTCCGGGGGCTCCACCCCCTGGACCCCACGCCAATTCGTGACCTGCCAGTGTCACAAATAAGGCGTAAAATATGCTAATCTGACGATAATTTTATGTATAAAACCCCTGAGCTTCTTGGGGCTCCGCCCCCTGGACCCAACACAAATTTGTGTCCTGCCAGTGTAACAAATAAAGTATCAAAATATGCTCATCTGACAGTAATTGATTGCCCAAAGCCCCTGAGCTTCTTGTGCTCCGCCCCCTGGACCCAACACCAAATTGTGTCCTGCCAGTGTCACAAATAAGGTATAAAATGTGCCCATCTGACGATAATTTAATGTATAAAACCCCTGAGCTTCTTGGGGCTCCGCCCCTTGGAACCAACACCACTTTGGGTCCTCCAGTGTCACAAATAAGGTATAAAATGTGCCCATCTGACAATAATTTAATGTATAAAACCCCTGAGCTTCTTGGGGCTCCGCCCCTTGGAACCAACACCACTTTGGGTCCTGCCAGTGTCACAAATAAGGTATAAAATGTGCCCATCTGACGATAAATTAATGTATAAAACCCCTGAGCTTCTTGGGGCTCCGCCCCTTGGAACCAACACCACTTTGGGTCCTCCAGTGTCACAAATAAGGTATAAAATGTGCCCATCTGACAATAATTTAATGTATAAAACCCCTGAGCTTCTTGGGGCTCCGCCCCTTGGAACCAACACCACTTTGGGTCCTGCCAGTGTCACAAATAAGGGATAAATGTGCCCATCTGACAATAATTTAATGTATAAAACCCCTGAGCTTCTTGGGGCTCCGCCCCTTGGAACCAACACCACTTTGGGACCTGCCAGTGTCACAAATAAGGTATAAAATGTGCCCATCTGACGATAATTGAATGTATAAAACCCCTGAGCTTCTTGGGGCTCCGCCCCCTGGACCCCACGCCAATTCGTGACTTGCCAGTGTCACAAAAAAAGTATAAAATTATGCTCATCCGACGATAATTTGATGTATAAAACCCCTGAGCTTCTGAGGGCTCCGCCCTGGGAAAAAACGTGTAAAAACACATTCATTTTACCTTTTGGGCAGATAGCCCCCCCCCCCTCGTTCAAGGGGGGGGGGTGCGATTTTTCAAATTTTCGAGGGCCAGAAAAAAAAAATTAGTGCTCAATACCCACCCATCCGAACCCGGTAGGCTCATCATTCACAGGCCACCATCTCCTAGCCAGGAACTATAGTTATACCTAAACTAAATTCTACTAAGCCTCAAAGGCGTACAGAAGAAAAGAAAAAATATGTACCTGACTAAACTAAGCATTACAAATATTTTTAAACCTGACTGGGCCTGCCGTTCTCCTACAATGTAAGGGGCGGTGTCCGGTAGGCTCACATTCACAGGTCACCATCTCCCAGCCAAGAACTACCTAAACTATATTCTACTAAGCCTCAAATGCGTACAGAAGAAAAAAGAAAAAAACATGTACCTGATTAAACTAAGCAACAAAAAAATATATATATATTTAAAACCTGAATGAACGTGCCGTTCTCCTACAATTAAAGGGGCGGTGCCCGGTAGGCTCATCATTCACAGGTCACCATCTCCCAGCCAAGAACTACCTAAACTGAATTCTACTATTAAAAGCCTCAAAGGCGTACAGAAAAAAAGAACAAATATGTACCTGATTAAACTTAACATTAAAAATATAATGTAAAACCTGACTGGGCGTGCCGTTCTCATACAATTAAAGGGGCGGTGCCCGGTAGGCTCATCATTCACAGGTCACAATCTCCCAGCCAGGAACTACCTGAACTAAATTCTACTATTAAAAGCCTCAAAGGCGTACAGAAAAAAAGAACAAATATGTACCTGATTAAACTAAGCATTAAAAATATATTGTAAAACCTGACTGGGCGTGCCGTTCTCCTACAATTTAAGGGGCGGTGCCCGGTAGGCTCATCATTCACAGGTCACCATCTCCCAGCCAGGAACTACCTAAATTAAATTCTACTATTAAAAGCCTCAAAGGCGTACAGAAAAAAAGAACAAATATGTACCTGATTAAACTAAGCATTAAAAATATATTGTAAAAACTGACTGGGCGTGCCGTTCTCCTACAATTTAAGGGGCTGTGCCCGGTAGGCTCATCATTCACAGGTCACCATCTCCCAGCCAGGAACTACCTAAACTAAATCCTACTAAGCCTCAAATGCGTACAGATGAAAAGAAAAAATATGTACCTGACTAAACTAAGCATTACAAAAACCTGACTGGGCGTGCCGTTCGCATACAATTTAAGGGGCGGTGCCCAGTAGGCTCATCATTCACAGGTCACCATCTCTCAGCCAGGAACTACCTAAACTAAATTCTATTATTAAAAGCCTAAAAGAACTACAGAAAAAAGAACAAATATGTACTTGATTAAACTAAACATTAAAAAATATATTGTAAAAACTGACTGGGCGTGCCGTTCTCCTACAATTTAAGGGGCTGTGCCCGGTAGGCTCATCATTCACAGGTCACCATCTCCCAGCCAGGAACTACCTAAACTAAATCCTACTAAGCCTCAAATGCGTACAGATGAAAAGAAAAAATATGTACCTGACTAAACTAAGCATTACAAAAACCTGACTGGGCGTGCCGTTCGCATACAATTTAAGGGGCGGTGCCCAGTAGGCTCATCATTCACAGGTCACCATCTCTCAGCCAGGAACTACCTAAACTAAATTCTATTATTAAAAGCCTAAAAGAACTACAGAAAAAAAGAACAAATATGTACTTGATTAAACTAAACATTAAAAAATATATTGTAAAAACTGACTGGGCGTGCCGTTCTCCGACAATTTAAGGGGCTGTGCCCGGTAGGCTCATCATTCACAGGTCACCATCTCCCAGCCAGGAACTACCTAAACTAAATTCTACTATTAAAAGCCTCAAAGGCGTACAGAAAATATGAGCAAATATGTACCTGATTAAACTAAGCATTAAAAATATATTGTAAAAACTGACTGGGCGTGCCGTTCTCATACAGTTAAAGGGGCGGTGACCGGTAGGCTCATCATTCACAGGTCAACATCTCCCAGCCAGGAACTACCTAAACTAAATTATACTAAGTCCCGAAGGCGTACAGAAGAAGGAAAAAAAAGTACATGACTAAACTAAGCAAAAAAAATATTATTTTTAAAACCTGACTGAGCGTGCTGTTCTCCTACAATTGAAGGGGCGGTGCCCGGTAGGCTCTCCATTCACAGGTCACCATCTCCCAGCCAGGAACTACCTAAACTAAATTCTACTATTAAAAGCCTCAAAGGCGTACAGAAAAAAAGAACAAATATGTACCTGATTAAACTAACTATTAAAAATATATTGTAAAACCTGACTGGGCGTGCCGTTCAACAATTTAAAGGGCGGTGCCCGGTAGGCTTATCATTCACAGGTCAACATCTCCCAGCCAGGAACTACCTTAACTAAATTCTACTATTAAAAGCCTCAAAGGCGTACAGAAAATATGAGCAAATATGTACCTGATTAAACTAAGCATTAAAATATATTTTAAAACCTGACTGAGCGTGCCGTTCTCCTACAATTTAAGGGGCGGTGCCCGGTAGGCTCATCATTCACAGGTCACCATCTCCCAGCCAGGAACTACCTAAACTAAATTCTACTAAGCCTCAAATGCGTACAGAAGAAAAAAGAAAAAAACATTTACCTAAATTAAACTAAATAAAAATAAAATGTATATTTTAAAACCTGACTGAGCGTGCCGTTCTCCTACAATTTAAGGGGCGGTGCCCGGTAGGCTCATCATTCACAGGTCACCATCTCCCAGCCAGGAACTACCTAAACTTAATC